CTTTTTTCTTCCTCCCTAAACAAAAAAAAAAAAACTTGATTCCCAGAAAGACTCTTGTGTTTGTTTTCTCCTTAAAGAATCGTTTTTATTAAAGCAAGTCCTGGCCTCTTTCCGTTTTTTCCTTTCTTTCTCTCTTTGTTATTCCAAAATAATAAAAAATGTACTCACCAGATCAATGGGAAATCTTGTCTGAAGTCAATAGCGTTACATGTATTACCATCGTATCCTTGATCTTTGGTCGAAAACTAGCAAGCATAGAAGGCCCTATCCATTATGTTCGTGCTTTATTACTCGTTCTATATGGTCTCTCTTGGGCATTCAATTTAATTGCTTGTATGTTGACAAGTACAAATAACGGAAACTTTATCTCTTGTGTCATGACTCATTTCAATGTTGCATTGATTGCAACTGGAGCCAAGATCGTCTTGTATCTCTACTTTATTGAAAAGGTAAATTAACATAATATATTATTATGTATAAGCTCACAGCGATTTATATTAGATATATATCCTATCGGTGCCCAAAGTATCACGATTTCGCTCTTCTTTATACTTGGTTAACTTGGGTCTTTTGTTACCAGTATTTGCTATCATCATTCTTCAGATTATATTTAGAATTAGTATTGTAGAAGCAGACTATCCATTCCATTGTTCAGTTGGCTTCGAATTACCAGCCTCCGTCATTTCCTTGGGTTATGATGCCTTACTCAACATCCTCTACGCTGGTATCTTTATCAAGTATCACTGTTTCCCTACAACAGAGCAACAAACTGATCACCAGTCCACATCTGTTCTTACGATGGCTAAACGAAATGCTATTGCAGCAGTTATTTCCTTACTCGTCTTGTGTATTAACTATGTCATCCTCATCTGCTTTAATGGTTCTGAAAGAGGCTTGGTTGCCTCTAGTCTGGTTGCTATCGTAAGTCCTTTTGTTTGTTTGCATATATTGGCATTAATATAACCCTTTCCTTTTTTATAATTAGGCCCTTACCATCATTTGTGCGACCATCCATTGGGTCACTACTCACCCAGCCGAAAGTCAACTGAATGGAAAGAATGCAGATAAAGCCTATCCATTAGTAATTAAGCAGCTTCAAGAAGTAACTGTGCAGACCGAATTTAATCGTGCATAATCAGTTATTATACATCATCCTTGTTTTGTCGCTGGCGCAACATGACTTCTCCCTCGTTCTCTCCTCGGTTTATCCCTTTTGTTTTTCTTTTCTTAAAATAACTATTATTGCTACATTTGGATAATCTTTTATCCACGTTTCTTTTTTTTTTATTATTTAATCTACTTTTTGCATAATTCACACAATAAATAAACTATTTCCTTTGTTCAAAATAGAAGGACTTTATTTTCTCTTAGATTTGGTCACCTTGGAGCCTTTTGAGCCCTTTGTGCTCTTAAAACTACTCTTCGCCTTGGGCTTTTTAGACGCCTTTTCCAAAGCAATATCAAAGTCGTCGTTAGTTGTCAAGTCTTCATTCAACTTTTTCTTTTTTAATAATTTGATCTTTTCAAGTGTTTCTGCTTTTCGCTTTTGTCTTTCTAGTTGTTTCTGCACTTGAACCTTCTTACCAAACTTCTTGAGTTGACGCTGACGTTTAGCATCCTCTGATGCCTTTATAGCTGCCTCTTGATCCAACAACTTTTGACGAATCTAGATACAACATTAATTTATGTTGTATATATATACATTTCTTTATAATTACCTTGGCCATATGTTCATCACTCTTCACCATTTCCGCAAAATAATCATCGGGTCGACTGAATGGTACACCTGCTTTTTTCACTAATTCTCTACCCTTCTTTGCAGCTTCAAGTGCCTGTTCATAAAATGCTAATTCTCGAGCCATATCATCAGAAGGATCTTCAACAACAATTGGTTTGCTAGAGGTTATAGTCATCGTTTCGATCCATGGTAAGTTCTTCAATTTAAATTGTTCTGTAATCCTTGTCATAGCAGCCTATTATATTGTTTAGGTTGATATAGCTTTATTATATTATAGAAAGCTTACCTCATCATTAATCTTGGGACGAGTAATATGCTTATTTTGTTGTATTTTTTCTTCGTCGTCTTCCTCTTCGTCTTCACTATCTTCCTCATTAACTTCTTCTTCTTCTTCACTGACTTCTTCCTCCTCTTCTTCATGTTCTTCATTTTCTTGATCTACACTCATAGATTCGTCTTCGATAGGAACAGCCTCAGGAACTTGTTCTTCTTCTATTATATTTTGTTTAGCTTTTTTTGCTGCTTTTTTTGCTGCTCTTTCTGCTTTGCGGGACATGGGATCTATAATTATAAAAAAAAAAGATTAAGAGTTCCTTTACCTTTTCTTTTTAGTATTGTGAAGGGCATGAAAGACCGTCACATAAGCCACTTGATGAGTTTAACCTCACGCACACGCTTTCCCATTTTTCTCAATTGACAAATAAATGAGCTTGACTGAATTAACAAATAAACTTGCAAAGGAGTTTGATGAATGTTTGGAGACAATCCTAGCTTTACCTGAACAACAACAAGAAAATAAAGATGAGGGACAAGAAAAAGGTAAATACAATTAGAATTTATAAATATATCCATTGATATTTATTCTCTCTCTATGTGTAGGACTCAATGAACAAGTTGCAGGTTTACGATATACCTTTTTGCAGTTAGAGAGTCAATTGAAGAATATGAGAACAAAGACATTACAAGATAAAGAGCTGTCTTTGAAAGAAGTAAGCAAAATAAAAGAGGTTAAGCCAAAAGCTTATTATGTACATTTCAGATAAATAGATTGCTTAAACGCGATATTGAGATAAAAAAGCGTGCTATTGAAACCTATGTCGCTAAACTGGAAGAGTGGGATAAGGAAATACCAACATTAATAGAACAAAGCAATCGTGCAGTAGCGTCTCGTCTGAATGGATATGATTTTGATTCAGATATAACAACTCCTCCACCACAGACAACAAATGATGCTCAACAACAAAACGATGACGATGATGATGACGACGACGACGAAGGTGTTGAATTTGAAGAAGTCTAAATGAATTATTGTTTATTTACACGGTGGATTTACATGTGTCTTTGTTTTCTGTTGACAGATCTTCTTCTTCATAATCATCACTCTCTTCTTCATTATCATCTTCGCTCTGGTGATTGACTAATTCCAGATCCTTTAATTTTCTTTCTGGTATAACCTCTAAAAATGCTTGTTCCCAATTACGACAATCAAGCCATTTGGTCATGATTTCCACCACTATTAAAGTACTTATTATCTTTTCTTCCTTTTTAATATGATATCTATTTACCATGGTTGACAGTAAGCACCTTTCTAGAAGATATCTTAAGATAGTCACCAATAGGTAATCTAGCCGTTTTAATGCCTTGCTCGTCGGCCTTGTTTTTACAGAGATTCTATACAGACAGCAAGGTTATGACATGCATGATTTGATAAGAAATGTCTTTACCTTGTATCTATTTTTATCTACAATTGCACCTACGATGTAGCTCTTTCCTTCTTCTAATTCATGCACAACATTATCAGAATCTGCCGTTAAATAGATCAAATCTTCCTTGTTGAAGATATCCAAATATGACTTGGGAGTCAATTCGACATTCCTCCAGTTTCTCCAAGAAATCGACTTATCATCCATTTCCTTGCAGAGGACATCATCAACAGAAGTCAGCGTCATCTTCATAGATTCCTTTTTTGCACGAACATTAGCACTATAGCTTCGTGCGATCTGTCCACGTAAAGAACTGATTTCTTTATGAATCATGTATGACGAAAAAGAACAGTCCAAGATGAGACCGACGTTGCCTACGGTAATATCCTTTGCTCTTGATTTCTTTGGCAGTGGTTCCAACACACCTTCCTCCACCAACTTCTTTCGTTCTCTCTTTCTCGACTTTTCCTTTTCTTTCTTTCTTTTTGAGCGTTCACGTTTTGTCTCTTGCCAAATCTCGTCTCTTAACAATTTCTTGATGGCGTTTTTACTTTTACCAGCAAATTTAGGGTCTGTGATGTCATATTCTCTTCCACAAAATACTCGAATGTTTCCTTTGTTTGTCTCTTGTTTTTCTTCTTGTTTTACTTGACTTGTCTCATTCGTCTGATCTATTGTCTCTTTTGTCTGATCCTTTGATTCTTCTGACGACATGCGTATTATTGAAAATGAAGTCAAACCACTGCAAAAAAAGTTTGATGGTTTTCTCTGTATGACAAAATGTGACTGCAAGCGTATCCAGCAAGCAGAGAATCTCAGGGGAACTAATCGAATTGACAACATGCTAAAATACTCTCTTACAAAAAAAAAAAAAAAAAAAAAAAAGAAGCTTGTGAAATGACAGCTGGTCGACTACTTTTACTTTGAAAGGCGTGTAATATCTTGGTACGCCACAATGGTCTTTAAGAGTCAACTCATCTTGTTAAGCACTGTTTATCCAATTGTTTCTTGACTTCTAAAAGATCAAAATATACACAATAAAACCATATGAATTACCCACTTTTTTTTTTGGATGTAAGTCCTTAAACACGCAAATCTTAGGCTTGTTAGAGTGAGGCCCCACTTTATATGCATCAATTTGCTTCGCATCTGAGCATGAATATTACTTGGCACTTGTCCTTTCGCACGACTGGGAAATATACGTAGATTTGTCTGTACTTGTCGCCGTGGAATCGAGTCCTGTCTATTATATAGTATTTAATACAGCACTCTCAACCTATGATCCTCATCATTCTCAAGTGATCATCTGCGCCTTAATTTATCTTCTGACTCAGCGAGCTTCTTCTCTCCTCTAAGAAAGATTGGTAAACAAAGACAAATCTCATTTATCCAACAGTGCTAGATGTATGTTTACAGTTGAATCCGTTACCCGATACATAAAGTACTCCTCCTTATCCATTTCTCATATCGTTCTCATGATTCCGTCGTTTCCTCACCGTGGTGCTCAGCACGTTTAATTTTTCCATCTATTCATATCCGCTACTTTTCTCATCATTCATAGTCCCCATTAGCTCGAACTGTATATATTGATGTATATTCAACATATCGTGGAATCCTATTGATGTATTATCTCTCCAGAACGTATGGAGACTTATGCAAGCTATCCATAATATCCTCGTCCAGAGCAGCTCATCACTTTATGACACAGTCTCCAAGTACTCTGCTATAAACATACATTTAATTATGGACTACTCTGAGTCAACAAAATCAGTTGAATGTAATTTGATATAGAAGAAAAGTTTGTACTTCAGATGATTTTTTGTCTTTCTATAAACTTTTACTATAACAAATTCGTTAGAGAACATGTTTATGATGGTCTTGCATATGCAAAAACAATGTAAAAGCTGTAGACCTTTGCGTTTTGTCTGCTGATTTAAATAGATCATAGACACAGAATTGTCACTTGATGTGCGCTAATCAAATAGAAAAAAGGGTTTCAAAAATAAATGCCGCATATGAATCCCTTTGGTCATCCATTCTTTTTTTTTTTTCTTTTCTTTTTCATATACAAAATTTTAAACATGCCTTCGCCGGGATATAACTTTCTATGGGGAGTATGCGCTCTTATGCTGGTAATAGCTATCATCTTGGCATTCAAAAAAGGGAAAAAAGCCAATAGACACACAGGTAAGAAGCATATAGATGATATATAATCGAGTGTATATTAAAATATTCCGTAGTAGAAGCAGATAACACTACACCTGAAGTAGTTGTCATATCATATAATGAACAGCGTCCTCGTATACACTATCCTAATAGTAATAACGATCCTCAATTGCAGCCTCCACCACCTTCATACCAAGAATACCAAAAAGATGTTAGAATTACGTAAAGAAAAGTGGTTTATTGCAATTTCTTTTTCTCTAATCATCTTGTGGATCGTATGTCATTGCAGCCTCTAATAGTACTCTTCTTTCCGTCCTTAGTCTCTTTAATTTCTTTCTGGTTGTATTATATTCATCTTGTAGCATTTCATTCTCTCTTAATAAATAGTTCAGCTGTACTTTTGCCAATCGATACTGACTATAATCTGAAGTGGTGTCTAACAATAACTTATTACTGATTTTACTTTCCACAGCTGCTAGATCAATAGGTTCTGTCGTCTCATCATTATCCATATCCTCACTGTCGTCGTTATCGGAGGATATGAAACCAATTTTAAGTCTTGGCCTCTTTGACTTTGGTTCAGATAATGATCGTTTATTACTTCGTTTCATGCTTATCCTTAACGGTGATCCTGTGCTTTCTTCACCATGGTCAGATTTTTTATGTCTTGCCAAGGCGTCCATACGTCCAAAACTACGTATATATTAATATCCGAATAAATAATATAAAGAAAAGAGCCTACGTCTGTCCACAGTCTGGATAGTTGCATTCAAAAGGTTTTTCACCAGTGTGTATACGCAAATGCATCATCAATGCAAACCTATTGTGACATCTTGCTCCTCTTCTCGCACAGTTACTCCATTCGCAAAAATAACCACCCTTTTTCCAACCGACATGATCTTCTGAAAGATGTGAAGCCAATGATGGATGATCAGGAAATGACTTGTTGCAATCTCTCCATCGACATATCAATGACTCTGGTTGTTGTTTCTCATCATTAGATGTGGTCTGTTCCATAATTTAAATAAATGCTAGAAAGAAAAGAAAAAAAAAACAAGTTTCGCCTATTTAAAATTGCGGCACTACAAACACCTTCTATTTATGCATTCTCCTCAATGATATTTACACAACACATTCTCTCCTTTATAATAAACCTTGTGTTTTCTTTTAAGTATGCCAATAGCGCTAGTTTAAGCAACAACATATCTTGTTTGAATACATATATTTTTTATGAGGTTTCAATGCAACATTTGAAATATGACTTGGGTTTATTTTTCATAGAGACAGAAAAAGAGAAGTTTCAATGCAAAAATAGCCACTTACATTTTCATGATGACACTGGCCAAATGCTGAACAGTTCAACAACGAGCGAACATCTCTTTCTATAGAAAGTACACAGATACTTTATCCTTTTTTAATACTCAAAGAGATGAGACATACATAAATACAATAATTCACTCAATTGCTCTTTAATCTAAAAAGTTTATATCTGTATACTTTACATCATACGGCAATAATATCTACTCTATATCTTGAGTCTAATAAAAAAGTGGTGCCTGGGCTTTTTTTTTTTTCTATTCGATGATTTTACTTTTGTTCCAAAAAAGGCTTTTGATTCTGAGCAGTCACAACCAGTCAGCAAAAGCATGAAAATTTTCTTTTTGTAATTCCTTACTTGATTCTTTACAACAATGGAGGCAAAGTTAGAAAGGATCCGAAAGCAAGTCAATTCGAAGCTAGATAATCAGAAACTGGTATACATTAGCTATTGTATATGAATACAGTTTAGACTAATCATGTCAATTAGTATGCTCAAACCTTGATCGCTATTGAAGAAGTAATGATCCCCTCTTTCCCCTTTTATAGATCAAACTAATATATTCATAGACTATTCAAGAGCAAAATGAACAATTGACGCCAACAGCTTATTTCGGTGCTATGGTAAACATAATACAATGGATTTTAAAAGCACCTAACACTATTATATATAGATGACTACTTTGCAGTCTTCACAGGGATCAGCAGAATTAGTTGGAGCTCTTGTTTATCTGTTGGATGAAGTATTTCCATAGTAAGTCTCAAGATTTGATCACTATAAAGCCATTATTAACAAATCAACAGCCTTCCACACTCTGTACTCCGATCAAAGTTTAGCGATGTTCTTTCAGTTCTTGAAAAGATCTATGAAGAACATAAAGAGGAACAACCCGTTGTACGTTCAGTTATTGGCTGTCTTCAAGAACTCTTGGCCGCTCAAGATGGACCCAATTGGTCAACACCTTTAGTCAAGAAGGCTTATCAACAAATTTTGATCTTGAGCGCCAACGCTTCTCCAAAAGCACGAAAGAGAGCACAGGATGCTGTTCGTATCATCTTGTCTAGACCACCACCACCTACTGCCATTCATCCAGCTGCTGATATGACTGCAGACTTTATTCTTCGGGTATTGCATGAAGCTACAAAATCAGATCAGCATGCTGCTCAGCAAATGCTTGCTTTGTTACAAACCATTGTACCCTATTGGCCACCTCATGTAAGTCAGAGTGAATATAAGAGACCAAGCAATAAATTGACAAGATATATGTAGAAATTCTCTGCTTTATGTCAATCACTCTTGCAACTTCCCAAATTCAACAACGTTTTCCTGACAAAGGCCGCATTTGATGTATTTGAAGCTTTATTTGATGCGCAAGAAACAGATATGGATAACGATAAATTTGTTGGTTTGCTAGGTGTAAGTAAAGGTTTATTTTCTATATGAAACGTATTAAGTTCTTGTAGGCTATTTGTGAATTGAAACCAGCTGCTGTGGATGAACGACTTTTGCCTGCTTGGTTATTGATCGTCGGAAAAGCATTCCCTGTTTATGCAAAGATGAACCCTAATCAGTGTGCAAAGGATATTCATACCGTATTTCGTTTGATATTTAACGATTTCCAACAAGATACAAGATGTCATCGTCAAATTGCAAACTGTTTAAGCACTCTAGTTGAATACTGCATCAATGATCATCTTATTGAAGAAGCTAGCGCTGGAGAACACAACGGTTTGATTGAAATGATTCAGCTACTTGAACAAGGGTTAGGCATTCACTACCAATCTGCCTGGGTTCATGTCATGACCGTCCAACAAGCCATGTTCAACAAGTTGAATCATTATGCTGCGCCTTTGATGAATACCGTTGTCAGCTTACTTGGTGAACTTCGTTTGACTCCCGCAGAATCATATAAGGAACAGCTCGACAAGACACTTGGCGCCGCCATTTCAACCATGGGACCTGAGTTCTTCTTGAAGATTCTTCCTCTCAATCTCGAAAATCCCAGCTCGACCGGTGTTGGACGTGCATTCTTGCTTCCTCTCTTAAAGACATACACCACCAATACTACCTTGAGCTATTTTGTCAATGTGTTGATTCCCTTGGGTGATCGCTTAGCTCAAAAGGGAGAAGCTGCAGCAGCTCGTGAATTGGAAATGCAAGCAAAGGTATATGAAACCTTGGTTCATCAAATCTGGAGCTTGGCACCTGGTTTTTGTGATCTTCCTACAGATCTTACCCGCGCATTCAATGACTCTGTAGCTGAACGATTCAGTACATTGCTTTACAGCCAGCCAGAGTTGCGTCCTACGATCGCACAGGCTCTTCAATTCTTGGTCGAAAAGAATCAAGCACTCGTAAAGTCGTCAGCTGACGATGCTCACCTTGTTCGTGCCTATGGACTTACAAAGGCTGAAGCCGCTCGCAATTTGGAATTTATGGGCAAGTTTGCTGTCAACTATTTGGCCGTCTTCTTCAACGTCTTTAGTCAGATCGGCACCATGTTCCGTGGATTTATGTCGGATGTGATCAAGGCTTACCTTACCATCACTAGCCCCGAAGACATCAACAGTACCTTCAAGAAGGTACTTGCCATGCTTTCCCAAGCGCTAGAATCTAACGAGTCTGCACCTACCAGCAATGATCCTTCTACTGCACCTCCCATGTCACATACTATGTTGGATCTCTCTATTATCATGATCCCTTTCTTGGATGCAGAGTCATGTGAATTGCTATACAACGGAACTATTCAATCTCTTTTGAACAAGGAAGATGAGCCTACACTTCAAAAGAAAGGCTACAAGATTCTCAAGCATTTGATGAGCCATGCCAACGGCCAACAAGTGATTGCTCATCATCTTCAAGAGCTTCAGCAGCGCCTGCTGGACGCCACTGCCACATGCACAATCTCCGCCAAGAAGGATCGTATCAAGGTCCTAAGCGGTGTTGTTTCCGCTTTACCCAACACAGACTATCACTTCATTCCTGCCATTCTTTCCGAAGTTGTCCTTGCATCCAAGGATAACAACGAAAAGACACGTACATTTGCCTTTGATCTCTTGGTCAGCATGGGTCAGAAGATGAAGGAAGGGGGTGTTATCAAATCGAGTCAACTGGAAGGCTTTGATGAATCTGTACCTGATACGCAAGCCACCATCCAGGAGTATTTTACCATGTTAACTGCCGGTTTAGCTGGTACAACTGCCCACATGATCAGTGCCACTATTGGTGCGCTCTCTCGTGTCTTTTTCGAATTTAGAGATGATATACCCGCCGAATTGACATACGAACTGCTTCAGACGGTTAATGTGCTCGTTGCTTCCAACAACCGTGAGATTGTCAAGGGTGCAATCGGCTATGTCAAGGTCTGTATTGTGGTACTCGAGTCTGGACTGATACAACCTCAGCTTAGCAGTATCATCCACTCACTGCTCAAATGCTTGCACCAGCACAAGGCCCATTTCAAGGTCAAGGTGCGCCATCTGTTCGAGCGACTGATCAGGAAGTTTGGATTCGAGGCTGTGTCTCAGTTGATGCCTGAGGACGACCGAAAGATGATCAACAACATTCAGAAACGACGATTGAGAGCCAAGAGAAAGAAGAGTGCTGCTCATGATCAAGCAGATACTGATGAGGAAGAAGATGAGGGGTCTGCTCGTGCAACTGCCAAGACAAGCGCCTTCCAAGATGCATATGAAGAAGTACTTTATGGATCTGATAGTGAAATTGATGATGATTCAGATGATGAAACAGTTCAAAAAGTCAAGGCAGCTGTAGAAACACTAAAGCAGCAAAAGAAAAAGAAGAATAAGCAGCTGCAACAGCAAGCCTTTATCCGCGAAGATGAAGATAGTCCTCTTGATTTCCTCGATCGCTCTGCTTTAGGACACATCTCTTCTTCCAAGCCAGTGCAACGAAAGAAGAAGAATATAGCCAGTGCATTTAATGAAAATGAAGATGGACGTCTTATCATCAGTGAACCTACTGCAAATGCACAAAATACGGGCAATGATGACGAAGACACAGAAGATTATTACATGCAGCATGTCACCAATCCCGATGGTTTCGTTCGTGATAAACGAAACAGAATCAAGTTCAAGAAGGGCAAGGATGCTCAAGAGGATGCTATGGAGTTGGATGATGATGAAGAATCAGGTGCTTCTAAAAAGAAGAAGCCTTCCCAGAAATATGAAAAGATTGGTAAAGAATTTAGATCAAAGGTAAGATTTTTTACATTGTATGTCTTGAACCTGTTTTCATTTCTTTTTATAAAACAATAGAAAGCTGGCGGTGATGTCAAACGCAAAGGACAGATGGATCCTTATGCTTATATGCCATTAACCAAGGTGATCAAGAAGAGAGGTAGACATGATCAGAAAGTCACTTTTACTGGTCGTGTGAAGAAATAAATAAAAGCCATTTAGATGTAAATATTTTAAAAATAAAGCGTATACACCTTTTTTATTTTCTTTATTCTGTAAAGTGAACAATGATAAAGTTTATAGAACTCCCCCTTTTTTTAAAGGAGATATTAGGATAGTCATTGTTTGATTGACCTTTTATAGACACACAAGGTGTCATTATGTTGATCAAATAAACTCCTTATGTCTTAATTTCATTAGTTGACGTGTGAAAGCAAAAGGATGGGAAAATACTAAAGAACTAACCATATATTGACAATAGGTCCCTTAACCTGGTTTTTTATATATCTTTTGTTACAATAAAGAAATAATTACATAATGATCCTCAGAAAGTCTATGTGAATTGTCTAAAGGAGCACCTGGATAGACTATTGCTGAATATTCTTAATCGTCAGTATGAGAACACGCTTTTTCTCTGTCTCTCTTCAAACATAAAAGTATATCTTTAATAGTTACAATGGATTAGAAAGGCAAGAAGCTGTAAAAATTGAATTTATAAACTTACGATACAATATACAATAGAAAAAAAAAAAAAAGTCATAAGCCCGCTTTTAAACCAAAGACAAGTTATTTAAAACGCTTTGACTCTTATCAACAAATAGATAGAAGCATAGTACATGCACGTAAACACACACACACACAAGCACAAGCACATATACAAGCATACACAAGCACGCACATACACGCACGCGTCTCACTGAGTTAAAAAAAAAGTATTTATAATTTGGCCTTTCTTTTTTTTATCCTTTCTTTCCTCCCCTACAGTTGCGCGCGCACAGACAAATACCCATGTTTGCTGAGCCAATAACATTTCCTTCTGCAACCAACATTTCTAAACTATCAGCAAGTCCGACAACAAAGATTCCTGAGGCTACAGATTGGATACTACAAGACTTTTACAACACAGTAACACTATCTAAAGAATCACCAAGTTTGTTGACAGATGCACTCATCATAGCCGTCAAGACAACAGCTTGGGATGATGTCTCTTTGCCGGATTTAGAAGAAGAGAGTGGCGAAGAAGAAGAAGCCGATGATGACGAAAAACAAGCCGAGGAAAGGGCGCAAGAGGAAGTGCTGAACGAGACTATCGACCAGATTAAGCCAAACACGACATCATGTACAACCAATATGCCATCCCGACCAAATAGTGTAAAGAAAAAAGAATCCAACTTGTCCCTTAGTTCACTAAAGTCGGGCTTAATGAGCATGTTTTACAAACCAAAAACAATAGCCAAGTCGACAAAATTCTTTAAACGAGTGTTCAAACGATAACTTTGTACATATATCAAGGAAAACCTTTCTTCTTCTTCTTCTAATGTTTGTTGTTGATCAATAATAATAATAAAGGTTCTCATATAAATTACTTATATATTTGACAGCATGACGACCTCATGGTTCATGTTGTACATGTACTAAACTGATCCCACACAAGTGCTCTAGGTTACTTGTTCCCATGACAACTTTTTTTCTTTTACTATTTGATCATTTTTTTATTGTTGGTATCATGTACATTGAAATAATGAATAGTGTAATAAGAGATAACTAGAAAAAAAGGAGGGGAAAAGAAAAGGGGAATCCAATGTATGTATATACTTTTTATGAGAAATCAGCAAATAGATCTTTATAGGGATCATCGCCTGTATCAGAAACACCATCAAATGTCTCGGGGTATTTTTCGAAATTGCTCGTATCGCCGGGATGAGGATAATGTGGAATAATGGGTGCCTATATATACGCAATAATGAGCTCAGAGAAAGAAAGAAAAAAAAAAAAAGATCACCTACCCGCACATTTTTTTCTAATAGTCCTATCCAGTCTACACCTCTGAACCACTTGTGTCTTTTCACGTCCTCCGATCCTCCCTATTATAATGTATGAGCCTTTCTTTTTTTTTTTTTTTTTTCTTTGAAGGAGAAAACATACCTTGAGATTCCCTAACCGCTTTGTCCGATCACTCACCAGTAATCGTTTCAGTAAATCTCTAGCGAGTGGATCAAAGTGCGAAGAGAATTGAACTTTTCCCATTAAGATCTTTTCATAAATACCAAATGAATTATCATCAAAGAAAGGTGGATATCTAAAAGAACTGTCAGTATTTTCCCCCCTTTCCTTTCTCCTCTTGCACACTTTTTTCTTTACCCTGCCAGCATTTCAAATATAAGGATGCCAAGAGCCCACCAATCGACTGCTTTACCATGTCCTTTGCTTTGAATGATTTCAGGGGCCAAATATTCCGGAGTGCCACATAATGTCCAAGTTCGATCTACTACTTTTTTCGCAAATCCGAAATCGGTAATTTTAATATGACCTTGATGATCAATTAATAAATTTTCAGGCTTCAAATCACGATAGATAATGTCCTTTGAGTGTAAATATTCGATAGCCAATACGATTTCTGAAGCATAGAACCTTGTCATATCATTAGTGAATCTGCCTGCTCTTCTTAAATGAGTGAACAATTCGCCGCCTACGACATATTCGAGTAGCATGTATAGATTTGAATCGTCTTGAAAAGTGCAAAATCTAAATATAAAACAATGAGTCTATGGTCTAAAAAGACGAGATATAAACATACAAGTCAACTATAAATGGAAATCGTATGGATGAAAGGATCTTTTTTTCCGATAGTAAGTGTTCAACCTGCTTCAATCTAACCACCTCTGATTTCTTTAATACTTTCATTGCATAATACTTATTTGAAGGTTTAAATTTGGTCAGGAATACTCTTCCGAATGTACCAGTGCCTATTGTACGTTGTATTAAATAATGCATATACATTTTCCTGTCTTCTTTTGCTTACCCAATGTTTCTTGTATCTCAAAGTCTCTTAATCCAAAACTCGGTTTTTCAACATAGACAGGCGGTCGATTATGATAATATTGTAAACGAGCTTGTTGTTGTTGTTGATAAGGAGTTGGTAAACCAGCTAGAGGGTGGTTAGGTGGAAATGCATTATCTACTATAGACCTTTTCAGTTGTGGTCGAGGTTGGCTGAGATAGACTGGTGGTTTATTATTATTATTATATGTTGCTGTCTCTTCTTTATATGCTTTGTCCATTTTTAATAGTAATAATAATAATAATAATAATAATAATAATAATGTGAAAAGAAAGATAAGTTATTGCTGTTCTCCTTTCTCCCTTTTATTTTTGTTGAAAAAAATAAAAATAAAAATAAAAAAATAAAAAAGAATATATATGTGTATACAGCAAGAAAAGAAAAAGGGGTGAATATACACACATCAGCACCCAAACATCCACATAAAGAACAAAAATAATAGTCAGCGCACGAGTTGAATTATTCATATAATGTAGTACACAAAAAGCATCATACCACCTCCTCTCCCTTATACTACGCTTACTCTATTTTGATACGACTGCTTTTATAAGACTCTTTCTTTATTTCTTTCATTCTCCTTATTATAAATTATTACATCTTCTCCTTTACTTTGCTCCACTCTCTTTTATTCATTTGGGCCCTTTTTTCTTTGTTTCCTGCGCCTACGTTTATGTTGAAGCGGAGTATCTGATAAATAGTCACAAATGACGTGTGCCATAAGCTTGACTTCATACACACCAGCACACCAACGCACCAACGCACATCACACATTTTTTTAAATCATAAAAAATTGATTTTTTTTTTTTCCTGCTTTGGAATATATTTCAATAGTAACGCGATCAAAGATGGATGACTCACTTTATGACGAATTTGGTAACTATCTTGGCCCAGATCTTGAGGAAGAAGAAGACGAGGATGTAGAACTTGAACAAGTAGAAGAAGAAGAAGAAGAAGAACAGCCACAGCAAGCTGCATTTGAACAAGATCATGTAGAAGAATCTGCCTTGATGCAAATTGATGGTGATTTTGATTACTTTTTCCATAAGGATTATATCATTTATACTTTTTTCATGTAGACATTCCTCCTAATCAAATAGTTTTACACGAAGACAAAAAATATTACCCTTCAGCTGAAGAAGTCTATGGACAAGAGGTTGAAACATTAGTTCAAGAAGAAGATACACAGCCTTTGACTGAACCTATTGTTGCTCCCATCAAAGTTCGAAAATTCAACGTATTCGAAACTGACTTACCGGAGACTCGTTATAGTAAAGAGTAAGTATATACTTTAGAAGAAATATGCTGTCATTGACATTGTTCCTATTAGGTTCATGGCTGATTTGATGAATCATCCTGATTTGATCAGAAACATTGCTATTGTCGGTCATCTTCATCACGGAAAGACATCGTTTGTAGACATGCTTATTTCTGAAACACACGACATGCCAATTAATGTTGAGCAGCCAGAGCGTTATACAGATACGCATATCTTAGAACGAGAACGTGGTGTTTCTATCAAGAGTATGCCCATGTCGCTTGTTTTACAGGACTTGAAAGATAAATCCTATCTGGTGAACATGCTGGATACACCTGGTAAGCTTCCGTTTTTTTTTTTTTTTATCAAGATACAATTCCATTGACTTGCGCTTTTATTTTAGGTCATACTAACTTCATTGATGAAGTTGTTGCAGCCACCCGGTTAGCTGATGGTGTTGTCATTGTAGTTGATATCGTAGAAGGCGTCATGGTCAATACGGAACAAGTGATCAAGCACTGTGTGCGTGAAGGTTTGGCTATGACGCTCGTTATCAATAAGATGGACAGATTAATACTCGAATTGAAGTTGCCGCCTGCTGATGCTTATTTCAAGGTACGACATGCCATTGAAGAAGTTAACACGGTGATTCGGTAAAGATAGTCTACAAAAACAATACAATCCCATTCATTCTCATTTATATTCATAGATCTACACCAGGTGGTGAAAACATTCGTCTCTCTCCTGAATTAGGTAACGTTTGCTTTGCTTCCACTCAAGTTGGTTGGATATTTTCACTTAAATCATTCGCAAGACTCTATGCTGAATCATATGAGGCTGACTTTGATGAAGACTCATTTGCCAAGAGACTTTGGGGAGACATCTACTTTAACCCTGAATCAGGTTCCTTCCACCGCAAGTCAAACAATGGTCAATTCAAACGTACATTTATCCACTTTATCTTGGAGCCTTTATACAAGTTGTACGCTCAGGTGATTGGTGAAGAGGGCGATAATTTGAAAAAGACGCTTCATTCACTTGGTATCTACTTGAAGCAAAAGGACTATCAAATGGACGTCAAGCCTTTACTCCGTCTTGTACTCACTCGATTCTTTGGTTCTACCAATGCATTTGTAAACATGATTGTTAAGCATCTTCCTTCTCCTGCTGAAAACGCAGCCCACAAGATTGAGCGCATCTATACCGGGCCTATGGACAGCCAAGTGGTAGAATCGATGAAGAAGTGTGATGCTGATGGCCCCTTGATGATTCATGTGACTAAACTCTTTAATAACGAAGAAAGCACCGGCTTCCAAGCATTCGGTCGAGTATTTAGCGGAAGCGTCAAGGCTGGACAGATCGTACGTGTGCTTGGTGAGAGCTATACGGTGGATGACGAAGAAGACATGGTCATGCAGAAAGTAGAGCATACCTGGATTTACGAGTCGCGTTACCGAGTCGAGGTTGAGGGTGTGCCTGCGGGTGGATGGGTGCTCTTGGGCGGCGTAGACAACTCCATCATGAAGACGGCCACGATCGTTGATCAAAAATCAAAGGAGGATGCATACATCTTTAAGCCACTGCGTTTCCCTACGGCTGCTACACTCAAGGTAGCTATCGAGCCTGTCAATCCATCTGAATTACCCAAGATGCTGGATGGTCTTCGAAAGGTTAACAAGAGTTATCCCATCGTGACGACCAAAGTAGAAGAATCCGGTGAGCATATTGTATTGGGTACAGGTGAACTCTATTTAGATTGCGTCTTGCATGATCTTCGTCGAATGTATGCCGAGATCGAATTAAAGGTGTCTGATCCTGTTGTACGATTCTGTGAAACTGTTGTAGAAACGTCTGCATTAAAATGCTTTGCGGAAACGCCGAATAAGAAGTAAGTTGTACCTTTGGATACCATTAAAAAATTAATCATGTGCGTGTAGGAACAAACTTACATTCATTGCCGAACCCCTCGAAAAGGGACTTGCAGAAGAGATTGAAAATGGAGAAGTCAGCATCCGTTGGCCACAAAGTAAACTCGGACGATACTTGGAATCAAAGCATGGTTATGATGTACTTGCTTCAAGATCAGTTTGGGCTTTTGGCCCTGATGATATGGGTCCTAATATGTTGATGGATGATACTTTATCTTCAGAAGTAGATAAGAAATTACTTTATTCAGTTAAAGATTCGATCCGACAAGGATTCCAATGGGGCACAAGAGAAGGCCCCCTTTGTGATGAGCGTAGGTTAAATTAAGTTCTTATGAATGCAAGACTTATTGTTGTACATAGCTATCCGTAATGTTAAATTCAAGATATTAGATGCAGTATTAGCCAACGAACCTATTTATAGAGGAGGAGGGCAGATCATTCCTACAGCACGTCGTGTTTGTTACTCTTCTTTTTTGACTGTAAGTAATGATTTGAAAAAGGGGGTGTAGTTATTTATTTTTCTGCACAGGCTACTCCTCGACTTATGGAACCTGTATATTTTGTTGAAATTCAAGCACCAGCAGACTGTGTATCTGCAGTGTATACAGTTTTACAGCGAAGACGAGGCCATGTCACAAAGGACATTCCTAAACCGGGATCACCTTTATACACAGTGCAGGCATATATTCCAGTCATTGATTCATGTGGTTTTGAAACTGATTTGAGAACACATACAGAAGGACAAGCATTTTGTCAACAAATCTTTGATCATTGGCAAATCGTTCCTGGTGATCCATTAGACACAAACATTGTCCTCAAACCTTTAGAACCCAGTCCTGCATCACATTTAGCTAGAGATTTCATGGTCAAGACAAGAAGAAGAAAGGGTCTTTCAGAGGATGTGAGCATAAACAAGTACTTTGATGATCCAATGTTATTAGCATTAGCTAATACGGATGTACTATCCATCTAAATTTGTCAAAGAATAAAAAAAAAAAAAGTATGTTTGATTGACCTTCAAACCTGTTGATATTCGGATATAATTTTCTTCCAGCAAAGGGGATCGAAAAAAAAAGAAACTTTATGGCTTAAAATAACAGATGCATCGTCTTTATGGTGTTGTATAAAAATAAACATGCACGATTGTACGCTACTGCATGCAAACAAAACAAAGTTTGTTTTTTTTTTTTTTTTTGAAAAGTAGTTATGATTTAGAGATTATTCAAACATAGATCATATATTAAAAGCATATACAAGTAAACGTTTAAGTGAGGGTACATATTTGTGTGAACTCTTGACGTTTGTGTGTGTCTGTGTATGTGTGTATATGTGTGTGTGTGTGTGATATAAAGCAAAAGAAGGAGAGAGAGGGGGGATATGACTATAGGGAATACATCTTTTCAAATGCTTGATTCTGAAGTACGCTTTCTTTAAATCTATAATAAAGCATGAGTTTACTGCAGCCTATAAGGTTGTTCTTACTTTCTTAATCGTTCATTCTCTGCTACCAGACGTTCTAGTTCAGCGAGAATGGTGGTCTGTGTTGACTTCAAGTGCTGTATATGTTGAACTGCTATAGTGGTATTAGCTCTTTTTGTTCACATCATCAAAAAGGCCAACTTACTTCTGTGCAAGAGAGCTACTTTGCTCATTTTCTTGTTTAAGCAACTTGGTAACTGGTTTCTCAACTCGTCGAATCCATCCTTGATTTGAGCTCGTCTTTTTTGTTCTGATTGGATATGAATTTGTCTCTTTAGCTCAGAATTAACCACTTTCTTTTTTGTCTGCTTTTTAGATGCTTGACGCGTTGCTGCTGTCGATGATGTGCTAACCGTGGCCGTCTCGTACAAGACAGAAGGTGATGAAGTGCAAGAAGATGACGAGTTGTCAAATAATAAAGGTGAATGGGATAAAGATAATGCATCACTGTTGCCATGGTTATTATTGTTGCTATGGATGTTGGTATTATTATTACTAGTAGTATTGTTACTATGAGGTAATTGTTGATAATCTAATGTTTGTTAAAGTTAATTTTTTATTTCTTCTTCCTCCTTTTTTTATGGTAATTCTAACCTTGCTGATACATTATTTCATTGAATAATAATGGATTTGCATTGTTAGTATTAATTTGATGATAGTCAAAATAGAGTTGGTTGGGATGGTTACTGTTATCTTCAGTCATGCTTTTTTTTCTTCTTTTTAAAAAGGAAAGTAGTGAATAATTGTGTAAATAAAAAAAAAAAAAGGATGTAAAGAAGATAAAAGGAGAGCTTTTTCTTTTCTCTTTTTATTTCGCTATTTTTATAGAATGAAAAGGAAAAAAAAACAAAAAAGGGTAAAGAGAAAAAATTATGCAAGTAATAAAAAGAAAGAAAGAGAGAGAAAAATATTTTTTTTGTTCTTTTAAACTGACAGTTTGCATACAAATTTATTTACAAAAAAAAGTGTGGATATTGAAATATAATTAGATTCTAGCCTTCTTTCTAGCCTCCCTCTTTCTTAATCTAGCAAGTCTCTTGGCTGACATTTTGGCTGCTAAAGCTTCTTGTCTTTCCTTTTCTTCCTTTATTTTCTTACGTTCTAAATTCGCTTGTTTCTTTCTCTATTATCAATCATTCAGTATCAATCCTCTATTCTTTATTATCTATCTACCTCTATTTCAGCTTTTTTCTCTTCCTTTAACTGTCTCTCTAGTGCTTTGGCCGCATTATGTCTCTCTCTTTCTTTAGTACGTTCATCCCAGCTTTTACGAAGTTGCTTAGGCTGTTGGTTACGGACAGTTGCCTTTTTTTGAACTTTCCATATTTTACCTTAAGAACTATTAATACAAGTAAAAGGGGCAACGTGGCTATTCATTTACCAGACACTCTCTTATTCACTGTATCTACAAAACCGCCAATATCTGCTTTTGTACCGTCAATGTTTGTTGCTGGCATCTAATCTATTGATCAAAAAAAGAGAAAGGGATAAAAAAAAAAACAGTAAAATTTTTCCTCTTTTATTTCAACAGCCTTTCTCCCCCGCTCGCCTTTTCAAGGGAAATATCACGTGATTTGGCCTCTGTTTACTAACATTTCTCTGGAACAGCATTTTTTCTACATCTCTTTTTTTTTATTTTTTATATAATTTATGCTTTTGCATTCATTTTATTCCATCATAAACAATCATGAATACTGAATCCACGCGTCAATACAACTTACCTAGACCGTTATCAAATACAACAACGACATTAATTAAACTAGCACATCAGCAACCATTGGTTATTCCCGATGCTCAAGAACTGTTATCAATAAAGGCTGATCTAGAAGCGCTGTTACCACTTGCTGAAAACAGAGCTCAAGATCTTAAAAGAGGACTCAATAAATTGGATGGCAATGTAAAGATTTATGACAATGGAGAAGGTAAATCTAATTGTGGCAACTCTTCATAATGATTTACATTTATATATATAGTCAATGCGGAAAACACAAAGATAAAGCAAGAATCAGGTAATACATCTAGTCCTGTTTCTTTAATTTTCAACCTTATTCTCTTTCTCTAGACGATTATTCTGATTCACTTTTTATACCAAAGAATGACCAACAGAGTAGACAAGCGTAAGCTCAGAATTCGCACATATAAATAAAATACTAAATATAATCTAGTGCATTAGAAGCCATTAGAAGAAGACGAAGACGAGAGGATACAGAGAGCGCTGATGAAGGTAAAAGATATATATATATATATATATATATAAAATACAGCTAATAACAGTATATGTAGGAGCACGACGAAGCGAATCACCTCATTTAAAAATGAAAAGAATGGAACCCTTACAACGACAGTATGCTCAAAGTATGTCACCGCCTACTCTACACAACGACTTGAAAAAGAAAAAACACGCATCACCTTCTGTCAATGCGCGGGCGCAACAGGACCAGTCAAAGGAAGAGCTGGATTTTGTCAGAGTGAAGCCAAAAGATCAGGTGCCTATCGCGACCTTTTGGACAGCAATGGAGCCCTATTTTCGTCCACTGACAGAAGAAGATCGACAGTTTCTATTGGAAAAATCAGATACAGGAAAGCCTTTTCTAATACCACCTCTTGGAGAGCATTATCTAGATCAATGGGCTAGAGAAGATCAGTTACTGCAGCAGCAAACAAAATCACCGCTTAATTCAAGGCATAGCTCTGTAGATCCTCAATCACAACAGCAGCAGCAACAGCAGCAACAACAGAAGCTAAAATATATAAAGGAGCCAATCACTGACGATCAACTACTGCAGGATGATTTAAGTTCAGGGTCGTTAACAGAACGATTACTATCTAGTCTGGTTGCTGAAGATATCATTGATCCTTCAGAACTGAAAAGGGAAGCAGATGAAGTAGACGTAGAAGAAAATACTGAAGATCAAGCTACACAAAGTAAAAGTGTGGATCGAGTATTAGAAATAGTGGATTTTGAAGAGAGATTAAAAAGAGAGCTTCGATATGCAGGGCTATTTGGAGATGATGATGTAAGAAGTTTAATGTATATTGCTTACACATACATTTATGCAAATTTATATAGGTTGACTGGAATGCAAGAGAAGATGACGAAATTTGCGCAGAATTACGTGCACTTGGGCGCGAATATAAAGAACAATTGAAAATAAATGATTACCGAAAGAAGAAGCTATTAGAAATAGTGGATTGCCAGCTGCAGTATGAACAATACAGACAGGTGTTAGATACATTAGATAATCAAGTAGAACAAGGTTACATAAAGCGATTTGTAAGTAACACGTTTATGCTGGGATTTGAACAATGACTTAACATTTGTGTGTAGCGTAACCAAAAATCAAAGAAACGTAAAGCAACTTCAGGGCAGAAATCGACTTTATCTGAAAACGCCATTTATGCAATGGAAAAAAGAAGGACATGGATCAATGCACTTGGAGAGATATTCAAAGATAAGAATCTCGTCATGCCTTCTAAATCCATTTATTCCCCAGAATCTTCAGCAACAACAACAACGGACGAAAATGATAATAATAATAATAGTAATAATAATAGTTAACATTATTATGATGTGTATATTTGTATATTAAACACCCTCCCCTTCTCTCTTCTTTCTCTTTTTTCTTTTTTCCTTGATTTATTCATTTTTCTTTTTACCAAATATTATTTTCAAAGAAGACCAAACAAAGGCAGTCAATACACCAACAGAATGCCCAACATAGGTCGATATGACGCACGAAATAGGCCATACTTGCCATTCCCTTTCCCAATCTAAAGGCAAAACAATCGCTCCAATCCATGCACCCGAAAGCGTACAGATTGCTTGAGCATAAGCATATATTTCTGAGCTTGTTGTAGGACTACAATAGACTATAAATCTCTTTTTTTCCTTCATGTGAATCAATCACCTTCACTTTGAATCTTACCTATGCTGTAAGAATACTTTAATCCAAACAGAGTCAGTCAATGATTGGAAACAAGGCATCACAGTTAATATAGACAGATAAGCTGCAAATAAAAATGTATTGGGTATTTTCCTATGTTGAATAAGATCATCTTGCTTTTGATATATGTATTATATTGTACTCTATTAGTGGTGCACCAAACAACACAGTTAATATATGAAGTACTCCAGTTGTGATAATAGTAGCCAATACACTATAAAAAGCGGATTTCTTTTATATGCATATTAATAACCTGTTTTATGCTCTTTCTTTTTGTTTGATTTTACCAAAGCTTTATCGGATGTTCCACGCAATAGATTTGACAATATGACAAGTAGTAAATGACCAGCAAATAAAATAGGGACTGTTGTCCAAAGTGTTGTTACAGGAACCTTTAATAATGATGTTGCTGGTAATTTGAAGGTGGCAGCATAATTAAGTCCAATGGCTAATAAGCTTACAAACAATTCACTTCCAAAAGGATTCATTGCCAAAAAAAAAAAATACAGAAAAGAAGTGTCCTTTTTTAAAATAGCGAAAAAGGCGCGTATCTAGAAAATAAAATAAAAAAGGGGGCGCGTATCATTCTTTTTTTTTTTTTACTTGTGTATTATTCATTACAAAATGACAACCACAATGACCAATAAAAGAGATTTCTCAGCAAGCTTTCCTGCTGATGAAGATGAGGATGACTTGATTAGACAAAGCTTAGAATTCGAACAAGACGAACAGGAAATTATAAGATTTGACGACTATATGAATCGAAAAGAGGAACACCATATTGAACCAGATCCTTTTGAAACCAATCCATCTGCCTTTCAAAACTCGCTTATAGATGCTATGGATTATATGGAAATTGAGGACGAAGAACCATTATTTGCTCTTCACGACGAAGGATTCAGTCGAACGGCCAGCACAACCAAAATTACCCTGGATACAAAAGAACAAGCCGACTACACAAAAGTGCCCCTGAGCGGCTCGTTTGTGACCGCAACCTGTCCTAGAACAGGCGTCCCTTTATACTTTCCAAAGCAAGTGGAAGGATTCAATAAGAATCGAAAGAACGACTTGTACAAGGAGGTTATTTCCAAGACCAACAAAAAGAGTCTACTGTCGACGCCTATCATTAGATTAATGCAAAATATTGAAAAAGCAAATCAAGAGCAACTAAAAAATATAGAGAGAGATATTCAGATAGATAAGAGACAAAAGAAAAAGAAAAAGATGATTGAAAAAGACAACTCGGGGCAGCTGTGGGTTGATAAGTATAGACCCAAGACATACTCTGATCTGACAGGTGATCAGCGTCTGTTTCGTGAAGTGTTAAGATGGATCAAGCAGTGGGATTTCTGTGTTTTTGGAAAACAGCCACCACAAGAAACACAGCGTGATAAAGTGATGAGAGAACTTCGGGATACACTAAATAGTAACAATAATAACAGATATTACAAAAGAGACAGAATACAAAAGGCAAGAAAGAAAGATATTAGAAAGAAAAGGAAATTAAATACGGTTATATAGAGCAATGATTCTTTAAAACGCCCAGAGAAAAAGATTCTGCTACTCTCTGGTCCACCAGGCTTTGGTAAAACGACGCTTGCGCATGTGATAGCTAAGCTATCGGGTTACAACATTATTGAAGTCAATGCAAGTGATGATCGTACGGGAGATGTTGTAAAGACAAAAATCAAATCAGCACTGGAAATGCAAGCTATCATAAGAGATTCAAACACAGAGGAGGATGGCAAGCGCACCATGACAATGAGCCAAAAGCCAAATCTTTTGATTATTGATGAAATTGATGGAGTCAGCGGTAGCTCTGGAAGTAGTGGGACAGATGTATGTAAAAAGTTAACTTGGAAGAATGTTATTTACAGTTTCCCAATATAGAGTTTTATACAGCAATTAGTACAGCTGGCAAGTGTAGAGATAGAAGAGGACAAGAAAAAAAGAACCAAATCAAAACCATTACTGAGACCTATCATATGTATTTGTAATGACGCGTAGGTTTTCAAGAGATATATACAGAATATATACAGAAAACTAAGATATTCTAGATATACGCCTGTCCTTCGTCCCTTGAGGGCCATTGCGCACTCAATACAGTTTAGAAAAGTGCCAATGATGACCATTGCAAAACGATTAGAGTACATTTGTGAGAATGAAGGATTAGAGACAGATCAAAGAACGCTCTGTATGTTGGCAGAGATAACAGATGGTGATATTCGAAGCTGCCTAAACACGTTACAGGTTTGGTATCATTATATATATATAATAGATTTCAGCAATAACACATATTGTAGTTTATTCGATCTAAAAGCAGAGTGTTTAAAAGAGAAATGCTAAACGAAGTAGGACTCGGCAAAAAGGATATGACACAATCTTTATTTTCAGTGTGGGAAAGTTTGTTCTGTAAACCAAGCTCACATCAAAAGACCTCTGTTCAGACCGGTAAGCTTGAAAAGCTCAACCAAAAAGTATACGCATGTATTGACTTGTGTAAACATGATAGAAAAGGACGGAAGATACCTTAATCGATTAACAGAGTCTATTGCTTCCAACGGTGAAATCGAACGTATCATGCAAGGATGTTTTGAGTCTTATCCATTGATGAGATTTCATGATGTAGCTATGCAAAAAGTGGTTAGAATTAGCGAATGGCTTGACTTTTATGACCAACTCAATCATCGTACATCAGAACGACAAGAGTTTGAATTGTATAAATACTTACCGTACCCTCTTGTTAACTTCCATCGATTCTTTGCTGGCACAACCATGCAGGAACATCGGGTGGAGTATCCTAGAATGGACTATCAAGTCTTTTCAGCAAAAAAGCAGTTTGAAAATCTCATTGAAATATTCTTGTCTGGTGTTGGTGCAACTAAACGAAGATATTTAAACAAGACTATTATCAGCAAAGAGTTTGTGCCTCGCTTGATGCATGTCATCTCGCCTGATCTAAGGCCAGTGAATAAGCAATTGATTAAACCAGAGGAAAAGAAAGTGCTTGCGAGACTGGTAGACATTATGATTGAATACGGGTTATCATTCATACAAGAAAGGACAGAGGATGGACAGTTTTTATATAAGCTTGAACCGTAAGTCATAATAGACTGTAAAATAATAATGGATCTAAAAGGTATCTATAGGCCTGTTGAGCAATTGCTACAGTTCGAATTATCAAGTCCAAAGGCAATTTTACCAAGGCAGTATGCAGTTAGACAAATGATCGCACAAGAGGTAGGTTCATTCTATATATAGTCTATCCGATATTTAGTGTTCTTCTAGATTGAAAAAGAGATTTTGAAAAGAAAAGAGAATATGCTTGCTTTACGTGGAGGAGTGAAAAAGGCGCCAGTTGATGAAAGGTAAATAGATTAAATATGAATTTAATAAGTTGCTAACCAACTTTAATCAAGTCCTGTCATAAAGAAAGTACAAAACAAGCCTGAAAAGGTAGCTGTTGATTTCTTTGGTCGACCCATTGTAAAGCAAAAACAAAAGCAATCATCAAATAAGATGGATGGTAATATTAAAGAAAGATATTTGAAAAGGTATTAACCGTGAATATTTATATAGTGGACAATTCCCAAGATACAGCCAAGCCTGTTGTAAGTTATAAATATCATGAAGGCTTTTCCAACGCAGTTAGGAAGCCTATGACTGTACAGATGTTCCTTTAATAAAATCACAAGCAGTACATGTTTGTCGCTTTCTTTCATTAATTAGTGTACATTGAGGACACATCCAGTGATCAGAATCTGATGCAGTAGGTCTTTGAAACAGACAAACCTCACATACCAAAACGAGGGGCTGGTTCCGAAATGTACAAGCAGAACAAATCCAGGCATCCTTCTCGTGTGGTGTAACACAACCCTTTTTCTGATTTCTGTCGTCACCATGATCTGTTTCAAGTCTTCGTTTGTTTCGTCTATCCTTTGTCACATTTTCTTCATCATCACTACTTTCAATAACAATCGTTTGACTCCCACCGCACCACAACTTGTCTTGAAGTCTTCTTTGAGCCGCCATTGCAGCCAATTGAGACGGTGATATATTGCTATCATCACCAATGCCACCTAAACGAACTCCACCAGTAGGTAACATCAACTTGCTGAGCCTTTGTCGTTTCTCTGCCGCTGCTGCAGCTGCAATACGAAGGTTGGAAGGTAAAGAAGAAGATGTGCCTAGTCTATGGCCCTTGGAATAAAATCCTTCGCCATGATAGCCTGATGCCATCAACATCTCCGTCTCTGTTTTTAGTTCTTCCAATAGCTTATAAAACTGTGCATCGTGCGGTCCTCTGACGATATGCGCTATTCTAAATAATATGTTACATTATACGCAGCCTCCCATAAAAAGCAAGGACTTACTCATGAAGTAAAGTGCCCAGAATATCTTCGTATTCTAAAAACTGTGTATCGTCAAAATGTGGTCTGAGTCTTAGGTTGATCTTCCAGCCACTGTTAACATTAACTCCTTTAAAGCGTGCCGTTAATACAGTTGTCAAATAGACAAGTAAAAAACAAACCTAGTAGATTTGGATTGGTAGGAAAGAATTCACATAGATGCTTAATGGTCCAAGATCTCTTTACAAGTATCGGCTTTACTTGTGACGTAAGTCTTTTGAGTATATTTAAGGCTGTTTCCGAGTTCTTTTTCCTAGTTAAAACTTTATATTCTTTAACAGGTTCATCTATGGTCATTAAGAAGCAACAACAGAAAAAAAAACCTTATCTCATTGTTTTTATGTTCCGCTAAAAACCAACTGTAACGGAGATTGTTCCACTATAAAATAAAGTTTTGGAAATTCAACATCATACATTCTTTTTTTTTTTTCCTTTTAACTGTTTCAATGGATAAAAGAAGAAGAAGTAGTTCTTTTTCTACTACTTCACCAAAGGATATCCCGGTGAGGATTATTGATGATGAGATCATACCCTCGAGATCATACTATTCAGCTCATCTTCATGTAGACTCAAAAAAGAAGCTGCATATATATAAATGTCATCATAACCTGACGCATACATACACACACATTAGATGAACCTCCCAAATACTCTGCGTCTATTGAATCTATTAGGGCACATTCACTTGCTTTAGGGGATCAATACATGACAGGGAGCCAACCGTCTTCACCTAGTGACAGCAGTAATGATGATAACAGGTTTACAATGAACAATAACCCGATATTGCCCGCAAAACATCTACAACAGCCAGCGGAATCAATCTTGAGTGCCTTATTGAAACAAAGCGAAGAAGAAGGTGACGAAAGAAGACCATTGATCATAAAACGCCACCCATCAAAGGATTATGCAAGCACAGTAACAGTCGAAAGAACAAATGAACACGAGGCACCCGTACTGATGGACGAGGAAAGAGGTGACATGCAGCATCCACCAAAAAAGACCAGTAGATACCCAAAAGATTGGTTACACTGTATCACCCAACCTATCCAATACATACCTGCTGTCATACTTGGATTACTCCTCAATCTCTTGGATGCTATCTCTTATGGTATGATCACATTCCCTTTGAATAACCCCATATTTGCTGCCTTTGGTCCTGATGGAATATCCATGTTCTTTGTGAGGTAATTTGTTTGGCATTGTTGATAAATTTTTGACTAATCTCTATATCAGTTGTATCATATCACAACTAGTTTACTCTTGTGGCGGAAGCGTGTTTGATGGTGGAAATGGAAGGTAAGCAAAACAGAGAGAGCTATGATGACGATATTTGATTGATTTATTGTGATTTTTTTTTTTTAAAATATTCAAGCATGATGATTGAAGGTATATATTTATCAGTCTAATCCAACTTGTTGCGTCCATATTAATTCTCTCTACTTTTCTTCTTTTAGTCGTACCCTTCTTACACATAATGTAAGCTTACATGTTCCATTTTATCATACTTAATAACTTCAATCGTAGGGTCGAAAAGATTATCAGCGTTACGGGCACAGAGAATTCAAATACAGTCATCTCTTCTACCATGGTTGCATTTGCACTCAGTAGCATCATGACCGGACTCGCCTTCTTCTTACTAGGCGCACTTAAACTAGGTTCATTCATCGGTTTCTTCCCTCGTCATATACTTGTAGGCACTATTGGTGGCGTTGGTTGGTTCTTGATCGCAACAGGAATCGAAGTCGCTGGTAGACTCGATCAAAACCTGGAATACACGCTTCCTATGCTCAAGAAACTCTTTCTGGATACACATGTTCTTGCTCTCTGGAGCTCGGCATTTGCTGTCGCCATCCTGCTTAGAATGATTCAAGCTCGTGTGACCTCTCCATTGGTTGTGCCACTCTTTTTCATGGTTTTACCATTAGCATTCTATCTGATCGCCTTTATCTTTGGCCTCGATCCAAACAGGTTAAGAGATCAAGGATGGATTTTTCCCTTGGTAGAGAGCAATACGCCGTTCTGGCATTTTTATACACTGTATGATTTTAGGGCTGTAAACTGGCGAGCTGTTGCTGAAACACTACCGGCTATGCTAGCATTGACCTTCTTTGGTAAGTTACATTTGAAATCTTGAGACAAGAGGCTTATATGTTTTTGTACTTAGGTGTGTTACATGTTCCCATCAATGTTCCTGCACTTGGCGTTTCAACTAATAAGGACGACGTCAATGTTAATCGTGAATTAGTAGCTCATGGTATATCCAACGCTGTCTCGGGTTTGTTTGGTTCAGTGCAAAGTAAGTACCTTCTTTTTTTGAATGATAGGATGATATTAACTTTCAATCACACACAAGATTACCTGGTCTACACCAACTCTTTGCTCTTTATCCGCTCAGGAGGAGATAGTCGTGTTGCAGGCATTATGCTTGCTGGGGCCACGGCGATTCTATGGATGATTGGCCCTTGGATTGTTGGCTACATCCCTGTGATGGTCGTCGGTAGCTTAATTTTTCACTTGGGTCTTGATCTCTTAAAGGAAGCGTTGGTTGATACATGGCACGCAGTTCACTACTTGGAATACATCACAATTTGCGGTATCGTCGCCTGTATGGCCGTCTTAGGCTTTGTCGAGGGTATCTTGGTCGGTATCATTATGGCCTGTATTTTCTTTGTTGTTCAAAATGCACGTAGCAGTGACACCATCCGCGCAACTTATACTGGGCAATTCATGCGGTCAGCCGTCCGTCGCCTGTACCGCCAGGAAAAATATTTGAACGAGGTAGGCTGTCAAATCCAAGTGGTCAAGCTTCAGGGCTACCTCTTCTTTGGCACAATCGATCAAGTAGAGCGAACAATTCGCGCGATGTTGGACGAGCATGCATGGGATAAGCACCCGATCCGATTCTTGGTGCTTGATCTTCAGCTCGTACAAGGCGTTGATTTCAGTGCGGCCGAGGCATTTGTGCGTATTCGTCGGCTACTGCGCACACGCCAAGTGTACATGATCTTTTGCAACGTTGGACAAGACGCACAAAAGGCACTGATCAAGGCTGGTGTGTGGACAGACCAACAAGACTCGGAAGGGGATGATCTCAAGTGCTTTGAGCGTCTAATGGACGCGATCGAATGGTGTGAGAATATGCTGTTATCAGTGTACTTTAGTAAAAAAGCCAAGTTTCATGGTAATTATTTTTACTTTTCTTTATTTTCAACTTGACTGAAATATGTATATATTTATATAGCTGCTCTGCCCGGTATACCCAGTGCTTCAGATTCTGATAGAAAACACGAACACTTCCCACTCTTTGGATCTTCGCCTCGTAATGATATGTTAAATCATGCCATTCACCACATCTTGAAAGGTAAATATATATATAATGTATATCTTATAGTCAACTCACTCATTTATATCCCAGACTCCCATCCGACATTAGTACACAGCAATGCAACTCAACCTACGCTCATCTTGGTTCAAACATTTGGTGACATATCCGATAATGTCTCTGTCGAATTCTTTCACAAGCTTAGCCGTTACTTTGAACGTGCCACTGTCAAGAAAGGAGAATTAATTTATAATCAAGGCGATACGTGTGACAGTCTAATCGTGCTGGAACAAGGTTCACTGCGATGTTTGATGACCATCCTAAAGGAACCAGTGACAGTTGAGACAATACTGCCTGGCACTGTCGTAGGCGAAATGGGAATGTTTACCTCCAGCCCAGCGCGCACGCGATCATTGATTGCCGATCAAGATTCTGTCTACTGGAAGTTGACAAAATCATCCTTTGATCGCATGCTTCAGGAAGACCCACAGACGGCCAATCAATTTGTATTTCTAACATTATACTTTTCTTCTGAACGATTGGATATCATGACAAGATACGCATACCTCTTGCATTAATGCTTAAACCATGAAACATAAAAAGTGATAAGAGTAATCATATTAAATAAATAATAGTAGCTTTTATTATCTTCTCTTTAAAACGACTTGCTTCCAGAAAAATGTAGCCATTGACTACTGTTATGTTTACACTCTCCTAGTATTTTGCGTGCCATCTGAATATCCTTTCCTTTTGAAGAAGAAGGCTCATCATTCAGTGAAATAGCGTATGAATGTCTTGTTTGTGAAAGTGACGATTGTTCCATGTATGGGTGTGCCGTGAGTACGATATCGGATTCGTCGCGGTTATTCTGATGGAAAGACGCGCCCTGCATAGTGATGGTAGATGACTGACTAAAAGAGTTCTGTCGTTTTATTTGATGCAGTGATTCTTGTGATGATTCAGGATAAGCTCTCGTGAATGGGAACTTCCATACCTGTTGTGTTGTCGTCTTGCTTTGCTTCTTTTTTTCCCACATGTCAAGCTCATCCACACCGCGTCTTCGTTCTGGATCGTTTAGGATTTCTGATCTTGGAACAAGGTTTAGGGATGTATGAATAGGTACGAATGTAGGTGATAGGTTGGACGGACGATGATTATGATTATTATTAGATGACTTTTCGATCTGAAGATCCTGATGAGTAAACCACGGCAAGACGTGTGAAAGCGCCTTGGGCTTTAGTTCTCGTTCGGCATCTTGCCGGTGATATCTTTTTTTTGTATTTGCGTTATATATTCTGTAACCTAGGTAACATAGACTTATACTGATAGTAAGAATACCAATGATGGCAAAAGCAAGTATGACAGGTAAGCCGCGATATATTTGGCGTTCCCATTCCTGCATGGGCAATTGTGTGACGATTTCTGTATATGTTGCAATGGTTGCAGTGAGATAGGTCCTGGTAGGATGAATCCTTTGTGTGAGTGTTGCTGTTAGAGTCACTGTTGTATTAGACATTAAAAATGAGGGGGAAAGAGGGGGAAGTTTGAAGGAAGGGGAAAAAGAATGAAGAATAAGAATAAATAAATAAAAAGTAAGAAAAGAGAGAAAGAGAGAGAGAGGACAATTTATTTTACATTGAACCATAAAGTCTTGTTAAAATCATACCCGGATTAAGTTATTTAAACACGTATAATTGATTGTATTTAACAATAAATAATAAAATTATCTTTCTCTCTCTCTTTCTTTTTCTTTCTTTGGTACTATTACAAAAAGGCTTTTGATTATGTAATGACACTCTCTTTAATGGGTTTAGGATATATATAATACAATAATTTACAACAAAAAAAGGGGGGTATGGACGATCTATTTGGCGGTCTCACTGCTATTTCCATCACTGCTACGACTGCTATTACTGGGACTACCATTTTTAGTAGTATGGATCGCTGAACTATCTATTGTTTTCATTGGATGCTTTTCAATCTCAAGGGAGTCATTCTCCTGTTGTTCATGGCGCATTTGTGCACCTGTCTTTTGTAACAGATCACCTCCCGTCGCTGTCTTGACACTAGCAGCAGAGCCTAAATCTTTTTGCTGACTATAATCCAAGACAGGTTCTTCAACAAGATCAGGGACACGATTTATGACTGTAGTTCTATCAGACATGAGCAACTTCATTATCTTGCTGAATCTATGTTTTTTGACGTGATTGCCACTACCAGCAGCAATGGATCGAATTTCGATTTCTTGATCACCATCGCTACGACGACGACGATGACATTCGAGCTCTTCCTCTTCTTCAAATGGAAGATAAGCATAAGCACGCTCACCCATCTGAGCCCAATCGGTACCAATGATCTCATCTTCATCAGCAAGACGGAGACGAAGAGAAGGCACCATGTTGATGATGACCAATATAATATATGTGACAACGAAGGACCATACCGAGACAGAGACGATGGCTGCGAGTTGATAGGGAACTTGCATCCAATGTCCGTCAAGCCAACCACCAATAGGAATATTTTCTAATGGTGTGCCATCTGGGTATCCAAGGGCAATGACGTTTTGTTGAGCAAAGACACCAGTCAAGACGAGGCCGACCAGGCCGCCAATATAATGGACACCAAAGACATCGAGGGCATCATCAATCCCCATACGATGTTTATAATAAAGAGCAGTATAACAAACGATTGATCCGATGGCTCCAAATGCAAGCGAGCTAGATGGACTGACGAAGCCTGAACCAGGTGTGATTGTGGCTAGACCAGCAACGGCACCTGTACAGAGACCGATAATACTCCATTTACGAGTGTGGCGATAGTCAAGGAGGACCCAGACGACGGCAGCTGTACATGCCGACAAATGTGTGCAAACTAAGGAATTGACGCTACGAGCATTAGCTGCTAATGCACTACCAGCATTAAACGCAAACCAGCCTAAAGGGAATATAAGTACATATGGACCATAGTATAAGCAGTGATACGTACCAAACCACATCAAAGCAAGTCCAAGAAAAACAAAGGAGACATTATGAGGCGTATTAACATTTTCATGATAATCACGACGTTTACCAAGGACCATAGCATAAGCTACAGCGGCCAATCCTGATGAGATATGAACAGGTGTACCTCCTGCATAATCCATGACACCCATCTTTAATAACCATCCATTTGGGCCCCAGACCCAACAAGTGATGATGTCGTACACAGCAGTGGTCCAAACAAAGATGAATAGAATAGCAGGGCCAAGCTACAAAAAAAAAACAATGGTTACACATATACAAAAGCATATGAATATTTGTTACTTACAGACAAACGTTCAGCTGCCGATCCGAAAGCGAGGGCTAATGAAGCATATGAGTAAGATAATTACTACAAGGAATGAATTGGTGTTACCTGGTGTGATAGCAGCAAACATGGCTTGAAAGATCATAAAAGTAGAAGCAGGAATTGTTTGCTCTGGTAAAGCAGGACGCATACCAACGCCTCTTAGAAGGAAGTGAGCTAGAGTAAGTTTAGTACATGTGTGTTCACATAATGATGATGATTACTCACTTGAGTCACCCACAAATCTACCGCCTGTTTCCGAAAAGGTAAGAGAGTAGCCAATCAGGTACCACTATATAAGATAAGATTAAACTTTGATTTCCGAATGACTGATTTTTTTTTTCTTTACTTGAAATGACACGACAGCAACTGATAGAACAGTTAAATACATCAAGGAAAGTGCATTCTTTGCTCTAGCAAGACCAGCATAAAAGAATCCAAGAGCGGGAGACTAATAAAAGAGGATTAGATGACTATAGATATCGATTGAATATAAATTACCATTAAAAAGACAAGACAAGCACAAATCATAATCCAGGCTGTGTCTCCATTATTGAGTGTGTATGAAGGTTCTGCTCCAGTCAATGTCGAATTATCAGGCATTTTATTATTATTTAATGTAAGAAAAAAAAGGAATGGAAAACCCGTAAAGAAAAGAATAATAATAAAAAAGGAGAGGATGCTATTTATACGTTTATTTAATGATAAGACAAATTCGCTGATAAGACAAATTAAGTAACGATAAAATGATCGGATCTTGAACGTTTTACAGTCAGAGAAAGAATAAAAAGCTCAAATAGGTGAAGCGTACTATATAAATAAATGTTTTTTATTTGTTGTATCTCATCTCTTTACTGCAGATGTGTTACCATAACAATGATATATCTTTCCCCGTCGCATTATTGTCTTTTTTTTTTATATGGGTTATCTTATCAGTTACACACATGCTTTATGCGACATTATCTTCAGTAAACACAAAATAAAAAGGGTAACTCCGTAATGAAGGCAAAATAAAAGTCTTTGGATTGATGTTAGACTATATCTGATTTTATATTCCATGCGCTTGTTTTACCTTCAGCTTCGTTAACAATTCAAAAACTCTGACTAAGTGCAAGCGTTCTTCCCAGTCAGTTAGCACTACAACCGGTCGGACTTCGATCAAATGGTACGCCTGCCGTCAAATATGGTCGTCAACAGAGTGATCTTGTCGCCAGTCGCCTGAATGGCAAACACTTGGCGTCATTTAAATGTCGTTGAGGAAGCGCAACAATACTTCATCATATCCAGCTGCAGGCAGGCACTTGTGCACTCGGGAAGTTTCAAGAAGTCTTCTTGATTGTGTGGGGTATCTTGTTGACTAAATGGCTTGCGTTACCATCAATGATTATCACATAAATATCATTTTTTTTCTTACCATGAGCATTTAATCCTTGGAACATGCTCCAAGACCATCAAGCAATTTTGATCCAATGCCTAGATGATATATTCCTCGTTGCTTGCATGATATCGATGCTTCTTCGCACCTACAACAGTAAAGCGTGAGCTCATTGAAGATAGGTGATCAATGCAAACATGGTCTTACCGAATAAACGAGAGCAGACCAGTCGCTGCGCTAAAGTACTTGAAAACTGGCAGGACGGATTCACAAAAGAAATACAATACATGCATAGGAAAATACATCAGAAGTTAGACTAATTCTACGGGCGCTACTTCTACACATTACTTATGATATTGTCCAATAAAACTTTCCAATGCATAGCTTGAAGCTACACATGAGCTTATAAAGGATCCATCTTGGTTTATTTTTCTTTTCAAGAAGAAGAAATGAAAAGAAATGTTGTCATTGCTTTATTTTAATTTTATGTTGTCAGTTCGATCAATCACATATAATTATAATAGATTCGTATTTACATTATTTAGTCTATTTTCTGGTGCATTTAGTGTTGGCCTTCACAAAATCAGGGACGTTCGTTTGTGGGGACCAATGGCAGCGGCTACACGCAGTTTGCATGGAAAGCACTTAGAATATACTTGGCCAGCCTGATGGTCTCCATGTCGTCCACAGATGTGTTGGTTTCATTTTTATATGGCCAAACAAAACCGTGGAGCTTGGAAAGCGGCTGGTCCAGAGCATTTTCCAAGAATGTCATGGCAACTTTGAGGTTGCTGAGCAACCGATTTGCACATTAATCATTTATATTTTTTGAATATTCCGCATCAATTTGGATACAGCCATGAGCGCCGTCAGCAACATGCGTGTCACTCAATTTTGCATAATCGTGCTGGCTCAGGAGTATCGCATCTATATTGTCGATGCTTGGTTTGTTAATCGATACCAAAGAAGTCAGCGTCAGTGGATTGAAGACGAAGGTTTTTTTGTTTTTCTTGTCATGAATGGACTGGCACTCAAAGTCGAGGTTATTACGCTGTATCTCATCTCTTTACTGCAGATGTGTTACCATAACAACGACATATCTTTCCTTGTCGCGTTATGGTCTTTTTTTTTTTATATATATGGGTTATCTTATCAGTTACACACAAAACAAAAAGGGAAACTCCGTAATGAAGACAAAAAAAAAGTCTTTGGATTGGTGTTATGGAAAAGAATAGAATGATTACATGATAAAAAAAAACATTATATTTTATTTTGTCTATAATCATTATCTAGTAAAAAATAAGTGCTTGGCCTTTGATTTGAGTTTAAACTCATGAGGTATATCATCATTATGCTCCAAGACTGCTCTGGCCATGAACTCTAAGAATCGTTGTCCATACTGTGTAGGTTTAACAGCAGAGATACCATGCTTATCTTTGGTTGTGACTGATTTATAAACATGTTCTGACTTCTTCTTTAAATCGTAAGGTGTTAAAATATCAATGATACCCAATGAATAAAGTACAGGCAAAGGTCGATTGTTTTCATCTGTTGCTTGGAAACCACCTTCATCTGTATAGAATATACATCGGCGACGTCTATAAAACAATATCAATGCTTGTATTCAATTATTATTATTTAATTTACTCTTGTGTTTCCTCGGGTAATTGGGAGACGTCAAGTTTATGTGGGTTTGTGCCTGCAATAGCCTCACGTACAACCTGCGCCTTGCTTGTTCTACGCCTCATCTGAGTGATTCTTCGTTGAATCGATTTTGTATTGGGTTGGAACGTCTGAAGTGTAGAGTCACGGATGTTGTCTTTGTTGCCTCGAAGCATATCATGAACACCAACGAGTAGACTATAATCCATAATGTTTAATTGAGATAGTAGCTGTATACATTGTGTAAATTTATTGTCAATACATCCTTATTTTTTTTCTTACCGTCACGTCTCGAACTAGTTGGCTAATAAATAATTTTCTCTTTAAAGGACCCAACTGAAGTTTTCTTTGTCTCTTTTCCCAGTTCAGATCCTTCATCACCGCATATGGATTTTTGCGGATTTCTTCTTCTGGTAAGAAGCGACCCAGTGTAGATCCCTATTATCATGTGAGATCACGTTTTGAACCTTTTGTTTGTAAATTACCTTCAGGTCATAAGTTTCGTGGATATCTTTGTTGGGTGGGAATACGTTGCTCATGACGACAAAATGAATCTTTTTTCCATGAGGTAGCTTGATTCTATGCAATCCATAGTATCTACAGAGGAGAGTGCCTGGATTATCACAGATGTGCTAATAATCATCGTTTAAGGGTTAATGACAGCCATTTAGGTTACCCCTTTTTTTAATTTTTTTTTGTTTACTTTGTAATACTCCTTGAGGATCTTTCTCATAAATTTATGTTCAGTATAATGAATTGTCTTGATAATAAATCGGTAATCTCTTGAATAATAAAAAAAGCTTCCACTTTTACCAGGTGATCCTAATTCACTCAATATATATTTACTTGTTAAAGAAATCTATAGAATGTTAGGAATTATTTCTGTTAAAACACTCTTGTATAACCTACCAAGTAGTCGGCTGGATCCACGCCAAATTTTTCTCGAAGATGGCGAAAGACCCAAGGAGCATAATCTTTAAATTTGAAATCATATTTTGCGCCTGGTGTTAATTCATCGCCAATTACATCAAATGCTAATTTATGAGCTGCATCAAAATCTTCATCTGTCAGTGCACGATCTATCTTGGCTGTCACTCGACTGACAGCGATGCGAATACCGGTCAGCATATTATACATCAACACATAGTTACGGTGTCCCTCAGAGATGCGTGTACCCATCAATACTTTATCGTCATTGTCATCTGTGAGTAGTCTAGACAGCCTTTTGAATGCCTTTCGTCTGGTGTTTAATTCTTTTTGAAACTCTTCTGATCGTTTCATCAGATCAACTCTTTCTTTGTCCTCAAGTAGTTGTCTCACTGATTTGAGTGTATATCCGGTGGAATAGTGTCTAGACATTGGCGGTGTCGTTGATTGGGTATGAATAGGTTCTTCATGAATAGATGTAATGGTTGAATGTCGTTTCAATATGGATTGTTGTACTATATTATTATCTTCAACTTTATTGGTACTGGGTGCTACGATGGGACGTTGATTAGCAGCAGGTATAGGAGTAGGTGTTGGGCATATTTCACTGTTATAAATAGATTTCATTTTATACAAATTGTTATCCTCTGTATTATGTCTCGTTATCACTGGCATATTAGTTGCTACACTTATAATAATAAAAGAAGAGAGAGAGAGAGAGAGAGAGAGAGAAAAAGAAAAAGGGGGAAGAAAAAGATTTTTATTTTTATGCTCCACGTGTGAAATGAACAAACAAAGAAACTCGAGTGCTTTTATTCTGCTGTTGCTAGTCTGTATCTTCTCCAAGTTTGGTATCCTGTACGACCATAGAATTCTATCAACTCAACCCAATCAACATAAGACAGCTGAGCACCACGTTGTCTTAGAAACTGGTTGGCATAAGCAACGATACCTAAACCGATACCTCTTCCTCTTTCTTCGTTTGCTACGCCAACACAAGCCATTCCTCCACTCTGAGTACCAAAGATGTCGGTCCATATCAAATCTGTTCGAGCATCATGCGATCCTTTTGTGGTGTACAAAATTAAGCTTGCCACTATTCTCCTGGTTCCATCTCGTGCCACAAGTAAGTCTTGATAGTCGCCCAGTGCTGCATGGTGTTCATACGTTGATAACCAGTATGGAAAATACCTCTTTTGAAATTCGAGCAATTCGCCGAGATCATCTGGCCCTTGGATTGTCTCGAATTGTATCCCTTCTTTTTTCATTCGCTCGGCAATATTTACCGGTACTTCGTATTGACTTAGATCGCCCATTAAATCCCAAACATAGTTTCCAAATTTAAATCCATGGTGTTCAAAAAAGACTACACTCCTCTCTTGGTCTTCAGGTAAGCCGCAGAAGAAGCGAGGATAGGTTGAGCCTAATTGGATTTGCTTGGCGCCTCTCCTTTTAAGAGTTTTCATACATTCTTCTAGTAGTGCGCTGCCAATGCCACGTTGTCTATGGTCTGGATGAACCATCAGCAATGCGAGTTGGCCGTGCTCCTCAATCAGCTGTGTCGCTGCGAATCCGATCACCTCACCTTCCTCACTGCGAACAACAAAGTGATCTGGCTGTTGCAAACGAGAGAGAACACGAGAGAAGTTGTTCAAAGAAAGCGGCCAGGTAGGTAAAAACACTGCCTTCCAAAGCTGGTGTACATTGTCGATATCCTTCAAAAACGGCTCAACTTGAATGTATGGATGATGCACTGTTGCGTCGTCAGTAATCGTCACTGGCAAGTGATTGGGACGATATTCAATTTCACCAAAGAGAATGCGAATGAATGCTTCATGAGCAGGAGGCGTGTACTCGTAAGTGACTACGTACGTTTCAATCTCTGGAAACACTGTGAGGTCATATGGGTTAATGACAGAGACAACTACCAATGATTTTGCATGCTTATGTGCCAGTTTGACCAGTTCAGACTGGAATGGGTGGAGGTTGGCATTGGCCGTGCCGACAACCACATAATCAGCTGCAGATATCTTGTCTACCATATTGAGATAATTGTCTTGATTGAAAATGATGTATTCTGTGTTTGCATGACGTTTTTGAAGAGAAGCGCACATCGAGTTAAATGGTTCTGTCTCTGAGTCAATTGCCAACGTCAGAGGTACATGAGCAGCTAGAAACAGCAATTTGTCATTAGCTGCAGGCTGAAGAGGGATTATCTTTTGGCAGTTACGGACAATCGTTGGTACATGGTTATACAGTCTATCACTTAGTTTCAAATGATCCTTACAGCCTACGACGTCCAAGTCATGCAATTTGAGTGCATCGTCCCAATTCAAATACTGGTCCTTCATGGCAGCTACACGATTTAGTGAATCATGAATAGAACCTGAATCCAGGCGTGGTAACTCTTGTTCGATAAGTTCAAACGCTTCTTTTTGAAACTGCAGTGTATGCGATATCATGACCATGTCATTCCCTGCTTCAAATGCCATGACTGCACCACGAGCGCAGCCTACTGTTTCCTTGACGGCATCCATTTCGAGGCAATCTGTGATGATGACGCCATTGTATCCTATACGTTTGCGTAGTAAATCTGTCACCACTTCAGATGATAAGCTAGCCACCTTGCCATCTTGAATAAGCCTGGGTAAGGCAATATGAGCAATCATGACAGAAGCAGGCTGTCCATGACCCTGAGAGAGGTTTGCCCCTGTAAACGGAATGAGCTCAACACTGTTGAGCTGCTCCAAACTTTTATCAATCACCGGCACGCCTAAATGGGAATCCGTGGCAGTATCACCATGACCAGGAAAATGTTTGATACTCGTTGCAACACCTTGTTTCTGATACCCTTCTATCTGTGCACAGCCTAACCGAGCAACCCATTGTGGGTCTTCACCAAAGGAACGCACACCGATCACTGGATTAAGCGGGTTGCTGTTCACATCCATGACAGGCGCTAAATTCCAATTGATACCCAGACTTAGTAACTCCTTTGCAGTCGCTTGTGCAACCTGATATGCTGCACTGGTGGATCCAATTGCACCCAACGCCATACTGCCCGGCAAATAAGTTCCGCTGGTGCCTAATCGTCGCACTACACCATTTTCCTGGTCCACCGCGATCCATAAGGGCCTTGCATGACCCGATTCCTTGGCTGCGCTCTGTAGCTGATGTGTCAGTCGCTGAAGCTGTTTAGGAGATTCAATATTGCGTGAAAACAAAATGACTGCTCCAAGATGGTGGTTGCGAATGAGGTCCAGTATGCCTTCTGTTGGTTCAAGACCGTCAAAGCCACACATTAACAGTTGCCCTATATCGATTGTTTTTGTCATATTGCTTTAGAGAAAAAGAAATAAAAGAAAAAAGAAAAAGGGTGCAAAGGGAAAAAAAGGGCTTTTGTGTTCATCACTTGAACTCTATTTAGAAAAGATGTCCCTAAAAATACATCAGTGCATTCTTTGTTACAAACAAAGAGTCCTTGTATATTCAGAGATGTGATTTCTGGATATTAAAACATATTAAAATAGATCCTTTTAGAATATATAAATAGCATTCTCGGGCTCATTTTATTTATTGATAAAGACACATAAGGTGACTTTTATTACAAGATTATTTTATATCGTTTTTTTTTTAACTTGTAATCTATTAAATTGAGACATCATTTTACAAAGTAAAAAATGACTCAACAATCTCATAATAATACCCTGCGACACTCACTCACTGATGGCTCAGTGACAACACAAGACATTGCCAATCTCTATTCCAACTTACAGACCATGATGGGCTCTGTACCTAAATCACCAAAACTGTCTGAAGAAATCTGGCAACGTAATCCACTACCTGTCACGCCTACTCACTCTTCACCTACACCCAAAAAGAAAATACCCAAAGAGCCTCATTGTCCTTGTCATCATATCCTTGTTTCCAAAGATTCCCAACACTGTGCCTTGTGTGACGACGTGATACCAATTTTGTCTGAGCTGCAGCAGGAAAGAGAAAAGCAGCAGCAGACATTGACCGAACGTGAAGACGCTTTATCAGCTGAGCGTGAAAGAGCTAGAACTCTTGAGCAGGACGTTACCGCACTCAACAAAAAGTATAAAGATGTATCCGATCGATTAGACCAAAGAAATCAAGAGTATACTTCACTTCAAAAGGATATGAAAACACTTGAAGAAAAATACAGCGTTGAGAAACAAGAAGTAGAAAAGGCAAAGAAAGCAAAGGCTGATGTTGAGAGTGAACTGGAAGAATTATCACAACGACTATTTGAAGAAGCAAATGGAATGGTTGCTAACGAGAAACGAGAGAGACATCAGATCGAGATACAGTATAGGCATCTTCAGCAGGAGTTGAAGATATGTAGGGAACAAATGGAAGCAGAAGAATTGCAGCTCAAGGAGCTAAAAATAAAGTTGGCAGATTTAGATCAAAGAAGATTTAGTAAAAATAGTCGTCTGGATGATTTGAATAGTACAACGAGTAGTAGTCTGTCTCTAAGCGACGAAGAAGATCAACTGGTAGAAAAGCGAGCATCTGGGGATTCGTCACTACTATTTTTAAAGCAGGATGACACTGATTGTATGATCGGCCAAGCTGATTCGCTATTATTGCATGAATTTGAAGAGTTTATGCTATCGAGTAAATCAATGCCGATTCGTAAACTGCATACACAAACATACATGAAGCATTGCCTAACTGAGGATATTGAACCATGCCTTCGGTTTGGACCTAACAGCCGATTGGTTCCTAAGAAACTATATGAAGCCATGCTATTAAATACATGCTTTATTGAAGAAACTCCCGAGGGTTTTGTACAAGAACAGGCAAAGACAAGAGGACCAGAGAATCCATTAAAGATATCTGCAGCCAAGACGATGATATGGGAACGATTATCATCCAGTACGGCAATACCCGGTGCATTCCTGGCTGGATGTCAAGCATGTGGAAGAGAGACATCGGAGCTGCCATATCGATTTAGAATTTCCCGTTTAGATGACTGGGCATGCATCGATCGGTACTGTCGAGATCGATTAGTTGCTGTTTGTGAATTCTATGGCTTTATAAGGAATGTTCTTCAGGGATATTACAATGGACGTAGCGTGTCTGATCTTTTCCAAGAATCGATAAAATTAAAATTGCGGATGTTCTATGCAAGGTAGTGTATATAACTGTTGTCTATTTGAAGTCGTAATGAGATATTTATATAAATATATATATTGCCGGATGATGTTATATAGGATAGGAACACTGTCACAGACAGTAAGTAAAGAAGAAGTAGGACATATATCAGATACCAAACAAGTAGATGACGATAACTGCTCAACAAGTACGGCCAAGAGCGATTCATTGGCATCAATTCAAAGTCAAAAAGAAGCTCGTGATACAATCCGTTCATTCTCGATCCATCCAGGAAACTCAGTCTGGATAAACCTATGACACCCTTTTTTTGCGATCTTTGTTTATTATATAAATATGGTTGTTTCCGTTAATTATCCAAACTGAAACCACGAAAAGGAAAAAAAAAAAAAAAAATCTTTTTCTCTTCTCTTCTTCTTTTTTCTCTTTCTTTACTCTTTACTCTTTTTTTTTTATATCTTCATCCTCTTTTTTTTTATATCTTCATCTTCTTTTTTTTTATCATGACTACAGTTATTCCACCTCTCAAATTATCACGGCCGAGCCAATCATTTAAGAAATATAAACTACGTAATTATACTTTAAACATTGAAAGATGTGCGTTGACATCATCCTATATAGAAATCGTACAAAATCCGATCAGAGCAAGATGTTGTGGATTTGGAGAAAAAGACAAACGGCCGATTGATCCACCCCCTATACTTAAATTGACGGCAGAAGATGAAAGTGGGAAGCCACTCGAATTAAAGTACGGATAAATTTAAACTAACAGTGGATTTAAACTTTTTACACATTTAGAGCTGGAGATGCAGTTTTATTTCTCGTTCATTGCCAATTATATAATGAAAATGGTACGTTGGATAAAACACTTGTTCATACACCTTGGTCAAACACATCACCAATAAGAAAACAAACTATAAGATATTCAGCACATAAGGATAAGCCAGAATATGTACGCAACCTAATTGGATCAGTTGTATCAAATGCGTATCATTTATACGATGAAAACTCTATTCCAGGCATCTTTTTCATATTCCAAGACTTATCTGTACGTATAGAGGGCACGTATACCCTAAAATTCGTATTCATTAATTTAGCCGAAGGGTAACTACCATCCCAGGTGTATCTGTATTTGTATTTATAGCTATTTATTATAGCGATCCCTTAACTATGAGCACCAAGGTTCAAGTGGAAATGGTGTCAAAACCATTTACAGTTTATTCAGCAAAAAAGGTTAGACTTATCTGCAAATATCCCAACTTTAAATTTTGTCTAATTTGTATATATTTTTTTCTATGAAAAAAAGTTTCCTGGAATGACAGGTATGTCGCGTATTTTGTACATTAGAAACTAATAAAACATTTTCCTAAATTATCATTCTCATAGAATCTACTACACTTTCTAGATGTTTCGCAAAACAAGGCATAAAAATACCTATACGAAGTGAACATGTGTCGATGAAAACACCTCAAAAGAATACAGCACCAGAATTACCAACACTAACATTACCAACGCCAGCACTAGCAACACCATCATCATCAACATCATCATCAACAACAATAAGCAAACTATCCATCAAGAACATTTTGTTGCCCGAAGACAATGACAATGGAATTTAATAATAAACTCATTTGAGCCTCCCTCCCCCCCTGGCAAAATTAGAGTATTCTGTGACACAGACTTTTTTTATTCTATGTTACAATTACTTTTTTTTGATCTATCGTCGGCGAATGGATTTTAAAGGATCCTTTCGTTTCTATGACGATCGTTAATATAAGCTTCTTTTTTTTTTTTAAAAAAAAAGGATTTCAATATTTACCTTGTTGTTATGGTTGGATTTAAAGTGACCCTTTCTCTTTCGCTTTTCACTGTGGAATGGCACATTCTCTCCTGCATTAGCCATGGCTGTAGGCACTGTAATACGAGGCATTAGATATGACGGAATGTGCTTTAGATGCTGCTGAATTTTGGCTGGTTGGAGTGTATGGTCATGACGTAAGAATTCTAGATCCTTTGGCTTATCTTCAAAGTGTGCTTTTAGCTTTTCTGAATTCAGAATTTCTTGCTTGATCTCCTTTATCCTTGCTTCTTTAATAGCTACTTTATTCACTACCTTCAACGCGTCCTCCACACGATACTTGAAGCCAGATACGTTCTTTTTTTCAAAGCTGTAAGGCTTTAATTCAGCATTTTTGGCTTCTTGTTGTTTCTTGACACGCTCATACACAGCCTCATCATGCACTCCTTTTCCTCGACCGACGTCCTTTCTATCTTCTACTAAATCTTTTGTCACAACAAAAGACAAACTCATGCCTTGATTGCCACCGCGTGCTGTACGCCCAACTCGATGTGTGTAGGCTTTAGAAGACGCAGGAAAATCAAAATTAATGACGGCTGCTACTCCTTGGAAATCAATACCACGAGAAACGCCATATTCCTTGTCCTTTTTAACCTTTTGTTTTTTCTTGTTGTCTACAGTGATAAATTAAATAAAAGTTTCTCTTATCATCGAATGCTGTCATTACCTTTTTTAGTATCTTCTTCGTCATCCTCTTCGTCTTCGCTATCTAATTCTCCCTTTAACTCTGATTCATCTGTAGCAATCAAGTAATCATAGATGCCACGATTAAATTCTTCTACAATATGATATCTGGAGTTCAAAGGTAATTCTGAATTTAGCACGCAAGATTTGATAGAGAACTGTTCTAGAAATAGCTTGAGCTTGTAGCATCTATCAATATCATTCACAAACAGCAAGATTTTGCCCTTAATAAGACGAAGCTTGATGATCACAAAAGTAAACAAAAACTTTTCAAACTCGGTACATTGAACGATATATTGGGTCAGCAGGCTGGCTTCTTCCTCTGTATCCTCTAATTCCAAAACCGCAGGCTTTCGAAGCAAGAGTGCAGTGAGCTCTTCAATTTCCTTAGTAAATGTGGCAGACATAAGGAAGCATTGGTATAGTTTGGGCAAATGAGACAGGATCTTGCGTAAATCGTCTTCATATCCAAAAGAGAGCACAAGGTCTGCTTCGTCAATGACAAGATTTGTAAGGGAGGTAGAAAGAACCATGTTGCTTGCTTCTAAATGAGTTAATGCTTTACTGGGAGTAGATACAATGATATCAGGCTTTTCTGCAAGTAATGGTCTGCATATAAAGGATTAGTCTAGGCTCCTTTTTTCTTTCTTCTTTCTGGTTTACCTTTGCAGCTGTACAGACATAGTGCCAGCCAAGTTGATAACCTTGATCAGTTGATTGGTATAAAGTAAAAACTTATTGATGTGTGTCGTGACTTGTTCAGCCAATTCTCTAGTAGGTACAAGTATCAGAGCCTTTATAGAAGGTGTAGCGTTCGAAGACTAGAACAGATAATTTTAAATTAATGATATTTTCGTGCATCCCTTTCTTTTAAAACAATACCTCTTTCTCTACCAAAATCTTTTGAAGGATGGGTAAAACATAAGCAGCTGTCTTGCCACTTCCTGTACGAGCACGAGCTAGAATATCCTTACCAGCGAGTGCTAGTGGGATAGCTTGAGCTTGGACAGGTGTAGGACGAGTGTAATCAAGTTGGGCAATGGCTTTGCTTAATCGAGCGTCAAAATCAAATGCTGCAAACGTTTGATCTTTGTTTTGTGACATTTTAGATCTAGGAAAAAAAACAAAAAAAAAAATAATTTGGCTCAATGACAGCTTAATTTCAGCCCCAACCAAAGTCACAGTTGTCTCCTGCTGTGGGTTTACTTGCAGCACAGATTCATACAGGGACAAAGTGAGCGATAAACAAAGATTTACGCCGTAGTAGCACTGGAACTACTGAAGGATATTGGCTGCTAAAAGAATAGACGAGCAAGTTTGATAGATTTGCTTTAAAAAAAGAAACACGGAGAAACCACCAAATCTCTCTTAGGTCAATATAAAAAGATGACTGATGGCAAAGTTGAGTATTATATAAAAAAAAAAATAAGTCTTTTATATAAAATAGGTGGGCAATGGTTTAAATAAGAAAAAGATATCTACTAAGCAAAAACCAAAACACACACACACTGGCTTTTTTATTTGAGAGGAACAAACTTGGAAGAGTGAGTGGCACCAATACCGGGACGACCGTGCTTGACAGGCTTGTAGGTGATGGAGAATTCACCAAGGTAGTGACCAGTCATTTCAGGCTTGATTTCAACTTGGTTGAAGGTCTTACCGTTGTAGATACCAATGACAGAGCCGATCATTTCAGGAACGATGATCATATCACGGAGGTGGGTCTTGACAACTTCGGGTCTTTCACCGGGAGTGGCAGCCTTCTTGGCAGCACGAAGCTTCTTGATGAGACCCATGGGCTTACGCTTAAGACCACGTTGGAATCTTCTACGAGCACGAGCATGAACAAGGTCCATGAACTATAAGATGTGTTAATCGCCTTTTGCTTAATTTACTTTCTCAATCTCTCTCATTTTACTTACTTGTTCAGAGGACATGTCCAAGAGTTGTTCAAGTTCAACGCCACGGTAGGTAAACTTACGGAAAGTTCTCTTTCTGGGGGTGGTCTGCTCGTCAGCCTAGCAAAAGATGCAATGTTAGTCCACATCCTAAAAAAGCACATCTCTATAAAGCAAAAAAAAAAAAAAGAGAGAGAAATGGTCCATTCGAGCATTATAGTGTGAGAAGGATTAACTGCTTTTGGTAGTGTTAACATGTGATGCTTTGATGTTCTTTCCAAGTGCTGATCATTCTATCAATAGTTTATTGTTTTATATCAATCCATTCTATCTCTACCATCAAGTTGAGTTTCTCTATAATCTGTTATCTGTATCTCTCTCTCTCTGAATATTGCTTTCTTTCTCTCTCTTTTTCTGTTTTATGGATGGATGTGCTGCTTGATTGATGTATACTTTACCATTCTTATATAATGCAAAAGGGAAGAAACCGTGGGGGATCAAGGCTCACTGTATGCTATAACGCCCAGCGGAGTGGCCGAAGTCCGAACCGGAAGAAAGGTGTTTGTTTGTGTAACAATAAAGCAAAGACTTCCGTCTTTGATTAAAGAACAAGAAAAACTATAAAGATACACCTTATGCCTTTTACTTTTTATTAACAATAAATACGTTCATGATATGATAAACTAAAATGTGCCTTTCTGAGTAATGAGTAATATTCCTCTTTAAAGCATTATTACACACTGGACTCTTACAAAACACCTTTACAAACCATACATTTCAAAAGATACCTTTTTCACCTTACTTTACATTGAAATGGATATTAACAAGAATAATCTTTTTATTTGGTCTTTTCTATTTAAAGTCAACTATCACACAGCAGCAGTTTATTAGTTTGTAAAATAGATTATTATTATGCAAACTATTTTTATAAGCCACCAAGTGACAATTTCTTCTCCCTTTCTTTCTTTAATTAAACATCATGGCATTTGTCAATCAACAACAACAACAACGTCAAGGAGGCTTCAAAAGAAAAAGAAACAATAATGCAGAGGCTCCTGAGAGCTCGAGTAAAATAAAAAAGAGAATAAGAGACATTAACCGTACACTGAATAAAAAGAACAAGGTAAAAAAAAAAAAAAAGAACATGATATTGCTATTACGATTACTGATCCTCTTTCCAAAGGACACTCTTTCAGCACAAGCTATTATAGAATTAAAGAGAAAGTTACGTACACTTCAATATGAATTAGGTGAAAGAGTGATTGATGATAAAGAGCAAAAAATGGCAACCAAATATCACGCTGTCAAACACTTTGGTATATTATAAAAACGTAACAAAAAGATATGTATTGATTTGGATAAATAGAGCGTAAAAAGACAGAAAGAAAGATCAATCAAATAGAAAAGCAGCTTAAGGAAGAAAGTGATTCAGAAAAGAAAAAAGAGCTTCAAGTAAAACTTGAGGAATTCAAATTGAATATGTTGTATATTAGAGTAAGTATTTATGATAAAAGAATGACTTATACTCATCCTATTATAGAATTATCCCAAGACTGTTCCTTATGTATCTCTTTACCCTAAAGGCAATGAAAATGACGAGAAATCAGTTGCTAGAAAGCAAAGAATATTACAAGAGATTAAAACTGCTTTGGAAAAAGGAGATAAAAGTCTACGAGAGTTCACAAAATCTTATCGTGACAAGTATAGAGAAAAGCTTATTAAACAAGGTATTATCATAATTGAGCCTCTTGCTGAAGATGAAGAACAACAACAAGAAGAAAAGGAAGATGAGGATGACTTTTTTGAAAAATAAAAAAAGATGTAGAAAAAAAAAAGCAACGACTATTTTATATATCAAAAATAGTGTATATGTATAAGTGTGTGTGTATGTGTTATCTACAAGATGGTATTTAATCCAACAGACTGTTTTGGTGATTATCTGTTACATTTGCTGAATAAGGAGGAGGTCGATTTGATATGATACCATCCATATTGATGAATGTATGCTGATGATGATGTTGTTGTTGATCGGATGATGTAGTACCCATGGCTAATAAAACCGTATCTCTTTCTGTGCCATAAGCTGGTGGAGGAGATAAAGTACCTTGAGAAGGTGCGAGTCCCCATTTCTTGACATTTGCTTCAACAAAGACAAAGCCCATTTGTCCAAGGTTAACATGTATCTGACAAGGACCATTTGCACCAATAGTTGGGAATAGATTCCACCTGATGCCTGAATAAGCTTCTTCGAGTTTTCTTCCATTTTTAGTAAAAAAGATAGACCCTGTTCGATGTCGATATCCAACGCCAATTACATCACCATGTTTAAATGGTAAACCATAGGGCTTATTGTTAAATGGTGAACTAAAGTATTTGCATCCGTTGTTAGAAAAATAGCCGATAGAATATCGATTCCAGCCTGATAATAAAACAATCAGTACAGTGTTTCAAAAAGCTCTCCTATATCCTAACCTGGCAGTCTCCAACTTGGATAGGGTTTAGTTGCAACGCCAACAGATACAGTCGTATTGTCTGGTTTGTCAAACATTTTGGCCTCCCAATAATAGACCTCTTGGTTTCTTGGTAATGGTAAGTTAGTCTGCACACAGTTTTCACCTTCCATAAACTGAATTTCAGTTCTTCCAGCTACAAAGCAGTTTGCTTCTGGTTCCCATTCAAACTCGAATGCTGAAACACCTTTTTCTTGTATTGATATAAACTGAGGAGGAGTAATGTCCGTGGGAATGCTGTTGGGAGGATGATGTTCTTGCCAGGCTATTAACTCTTTATTAGACCAATCCAATATATATTTTATTTATTTGTTTACTCTTTGCTCTTTCATAGCTAAGTCTAGCATCTTCAGATAAAGTAGCAATCTCTTCTTCTGAATCGGAAGGTATATCTTCAAGGTCACCATTAAAAGATAAAGGAAGTTCTATCGGAGACCTTGAAAAGAATAACAGTATGATGATAATCAAGAAAAATACAATTATTCCTGTTATGAATATCCATGTATAAGATGGCTGCATTCTTTTTCTTGAGAAAAGAAAGAAAAGAGTAATAGAAAGACTACGTCACATGTAATTGCAAGTTGTTACCAAAAAAAAGAGTGTCGCCTTTTCAAATCACTGTAATCTACAGTCAGCAAATAATGCATCTTTGTAACCCGAACGACTGGCTGCTCATAAACTTTTTTCAGTGCATTCAGCAACACACTCCCCTCTTTGAGACTTTAGAGCTCATTCTTTAGTGATTTATATCATAAAGGAACTAAATCTAAAAACAGCAATAGACCCTTTAAAGCAGTGATTAGCTTAGAATGACTTGCTTTCATATAGTGAAAATAGTAAAAAGACATGACATTTAAAGATATTTCAAAATATACCGAGAAATATATATTTTAAGGTTTTTTTTTTTTTGCTCTGTAATTAATAGTACGAGATTGAATCATTTCTTTCTACTCAATAACAATGTCTACTTGCTTAAAAAGAAAAAGATGGACCATGAAAAGGTCAAGAAATATCATCAGTCCAGCAAAGGAAAAGGATGTACAACAACAAAAAGAACTTTCAATGTCTTCTGATTCCATGATGATTCAATCATCTTCTCCTGTTAAACAGCTATTTCCCTCCATCTCCATGTTCAACCTACCTTCAGCAAGCATCCCTAATACGCCCCCACATGAAACAGCTAAAGTCGATCCTCCACCTCAATTTGCTATAGATATTGACACAGCAGAACGATTCAAGAGGCAATGTAAAAAACTCTATATCAAAAGAGATCTTCAAGAAGCTTACCCTTCCGCATTCGAAACATATCTCTTTGACGATGCTCCGCCAGGGGCACCTCCAAGCCAAGGAATTCGTCCTGTTCGCTTACTACTTGAACGACTCGAGGCATGGCATCTTCTTGCTAAACGACTGCTGTACCATTTCGAAATCCTGGCTAGCGTAGAGACAAAAGTGGCCAAACAATATCGCATATTGGACGACGTCATGATCTTTCCTTCACCTAGCGATGCACCGCCAGAGGAGCACAATTACCGTCGAAGACCTATGATCACAAGATCACAGCGACAAAAAATCTTCTTTAAGGATCAACGGCTACTGCAAGTCCACTTCACTTTTGCAGGTGGTATTCGATCTGTGTGTGACACATGGCAGACGTATCATTCAAACGCAGCCAAAGATCATGCAGAATTTGCCACATTTCTGAGAAGTAAAGCCATCTCGACGCTATCCAACATCAAACAAGAACTCAAGTGGATGATTGAGGCTATTCATTCCGATGATCGACTATCACTTTCTACACTAACAAGTTTAAAAAGAGAGGCATCCAAACGTCTAAAGAGGTTAGACAGGCAGCTACTCTTCTTTGATAAGCATCCGTTTTACGCATACAAAAAGAAGGACCCATGGCTGATGAATGCATGTAAATTGCTTGTATTCTAAGCTTGTTGTTCTGTTAACAGTATTTTACTTTATAGCTGTTGTTAAGCAGATGATAAAGGTATATCGACAAGAAAATAAAATTCATGAAACAGTGCTTCGATTACAAAAAGAAATTCATCTATCTGAAGAACAACTGGTTGAAGAGTTCAGACATCTCTGTCAGCATATCTACCACATGCGAAGCCAGTCTTATTTAGGCGTGGATCGAGGCTTGGAAGCTATTTTAAAGGCATTTGAAAAGATAAAGATAGACAGCGATTGGATGAACTTTTGTCAACAGCACCATGATCACTTGGTCTCTGAAAAGGCTGCATTTCGAAATCCAGATCTGTTACAGTATCCTAACCATAATCACCCCCTTCTCCAACCTATATTTGCCGCCCGGATGGAACGTCGATCGATGGTTCTTCAGCAGTGGCAAGAATACATCTATGTGCTTACTCCAGCAGGATTTTTACATGAGTATCGAGATGGCCGAAATTACCCAGGAAAGCCAGATGAGACCCTATTTGTACCTCATTTCAAGGTCTCAACGTTATCCACTAATCTACACCATAGTCTTATTTTTCAACTGCAGCCTCATGCCGCCTCTAGGAATATATTGAATAGTTATCCGGTACCCAGAGACTGGAGAACAACGTCAACATCACGGTTAAATCGTGCATTAAGCAATAGGCTCACTTGGACTTTTCGCGCTAAATCAGCTGTTGACATGGAACGGTGGATAGAGGATCTAACGCTGGCTTCAGAAAGCTACAGACCATTTTTACCTGCAGCAAATGGATATAGAGAGCAAGAAGGACCACAAAACGAAGTTGAGACGGCTACCAGTGAGGAAAGCACAGAGGAAAAGGGAGATGAGAAAGTAGAAAAACAAGCAGAGAAAGTGGTAGAGGAACCAGTAGAAGAACCAGCAGAAGAACAACTGCCAAATGAGCAAGAAGAGGTAAAGGAAGAAGCTTCACAAGAACCTGCGTCAGAAGCCCCACAAGAGCTTGCTGTTGAGCCAACTATTAATGACACAACACAGCCAGAAGAGCAAGCACCTTAATTTTTGCAAGCGTATAAATATAAACAAAACAAAAAATGAGTAAATACACCTGAGTCCTTTTACACTTTATTCAGAAATGATTCACACAACTGATAAAAAAAGTGATAATTTCAAACAAATAATAATAAAAAAGAGCCCATCAGAAGCAAAAGAATGGTTATTGATCTTATACTGTGTGCCAATAAATGTTGAATTCTTTTATTTCCAAAAAAGGGACGTTGAGGAGATCATGTGACATGGTTGATGGTATAAAGCAAAGCTTTCTAGTGTTCTGCTAGACTAATCAATTGAGCTGACGAAGAAACAACATCCATGGCGCAAAGCTTGGCTCCCATCTCAAACTGGTAACTTACTAAAGCAGACCAAACTGTTGTCAATTCACTGAGATCTGTTAATATACGAAGATTTCTTTTCTTTTTTCTAAATCTACCTTTGCTTGATCTTGATCACTCCTTCGTTATGATATTGGTTCCAGCCCAAAACATTAACATAGCAAGAAGCACCAACTTGTCCAAAAACAAACTCTAATGCCTGCTGTATGCTCATTCTAAAAGAAAGTTCCGTGATTTCAGTATCAAGTGTTTCGTCTGACCAACTACGACATGTGTGTGAGTCTTGTTCTATATTCTCTATTTTTTGTTCTGATCATGTTGCTTTATTACATTTTCACTTTCAAGTATTGCCATTCATCAACTGGCTTGTATTTTTTGAACCATGGCTTAACGATTGTTGTTGACATTTAAAAAAAAAAAAAAAAAAAAAAAAAAAAAAAAAAATAGGAGGATGAAATTTAAGAGATTGTTATTTATTAGTCAACAAGGGTTCTCCATGCTTCCAAGTATCGCTTCATCCTATGAACGCTGGCATCGACTTGATTTGGAGTTTGAACTTTACAGCTATCTAAATATCGCTTAATGGCAATAGCCGCTTCGTCTGCTTTACCCTTGACCGAATCCTTTTGATTTTGAAAAGTCTTTTCGAGATAGTTTTGTATCCAGTCAATGTGTGCCTCCGTATAACCAAGTCGACGATAGATATCGTGTTCCTTTTGACGCCAAAAGTGAGCAAAACTGTCCTTGACACTGCTTGTTGCCTGGGCAGCTGCTTCAGATGCAACTGAAACAGCGGTTTCAAAAGCGTGAGTGATGACATTTGTAGCTGTAGCCGTTTCAAATTGCTTTGACATTGAACGAGCTTGTGATTGCATAGAAGCTGTAAGTTTCTTTTTCTCTCCGGGATATTTCAAGTGTGCGTTTTTATAATTGTAAAATTCCCATTTTGGATGAGACGTGGGATCAGCATAGGGAAGGTGGTGACGATAATGTGACAGTCTTGTTCGTATAGGTTTCATCATTCCTTCAACCGTTGTCCATACGCGGTTCTTGACGCTGTGTATCCAATGATTTGTTTGTTCCTTTGCTTGACCAGTGTAGTCCAGTGCAAATATCTTGAACGCGCGCACTTCCTTTGCGATCGCTTCGATCACATCCTCCAGTTGCTCTTTCTTCAGTTGAGTTTGTTGTGAAATACTATATTTGAGCTCTTCAACCCAAGCATTATCGCCCAATTTATGAATGTCTGTCTTTAATATGCTTTGGTATAAAGCATCGCCGATCGAAGTGACTTGATCCTTTGTTAAAGTACCCAAATGGTTTAAATTGTTAGTCACAGAAAGTATCCAACTCTTCAAAGAAGACGATTCAATATCCTGTATATTTGGTTTCAAGTGAAACACGCGCTGGTACCAGGTAGGTTGAGCATAGGTTGCTTCAAAATGAGAGTATGCCTTCTTCCATTCTGCTTCTGTCATTAATTTTTCACGAATGATTTCATGACGCGCCTTATCCAACACAGCCTGAACTCTATCCTTCTTGAGCTGTCCCTTCAATTCGAGTTGTCGTAATTGGTGTCTAATGTTATTCAAAACGGCATGCGCGTCATTATTTGCTAACTTGGCATTCTTTTCCATAGAATTTTTGAATCCGTAGAGGATATGATCAACATTGCTGCCAAAAAGACGAGCATTGGCTGTTACTGCATCCTTGTAAGATTTGATAGTGTCCATCAATGCATTATAGTCAGAATGCTTGTCAAAATGAATTTTATACTTTTTAAAATAGGCAGTTAAGCTATCCTTGTTCCATTCTGGCGCTTCTTCTGTTCGTACTATTTTTCATCTATCCGTCAGTGATGTTCACTTTTTTTTTTGCAACTTACCTATAGCCTGTGATTGACATATCAGTAGCGTAAGTATCAAGAACGTGACTGAATATAGTTTAATTTGCTTTATCCACATTGTTTTAAAAGGATAATAGTTACAAGAGAAGAAAAAGAACAATATATAATAACTAGCATTTTTATAACATCATCATGACTTTATTGTTTTCCTTTTTTAGAATCCCAGATCTACGTCAAAATTGAAACCCATACAATGTCACTTTATTTTACAGTAGACCTGACATAGAACAAGTTATAGGCAGCTTTACTCTATAATCATATTAGCTTTCTCATCTCTCTTTATTATATTACGCTTACCATGATTTTTGATTCATCACAGACTGAGAAACGAGTATCGTCAAAATTGTGCCATTCATTCCTATATCCATTTCGAACGCAGGCAGTATAGTGTCCACCCGTTAATGATCCATAATGGTTCTATTCGAAAATTATGAGCCAAGCATACGCGTCTAAATTCATCTTTTTGTCTTACTTACAGAAACTGCATACAAATCATAGTTAAACATGGACTTTTCGGGTGGTTGATCTGGAGGAAACATGGTAGCAGGTACATATTTCGTCAAGTCTAGCCCTCTTTTTAAAACATGTTATGAAAATGCTTTGTTATCATTTATATTTTTTTACCTTATGGGAGAATCAATCACAGTTTCGAGCTTATTATTAAATAGTCCTTCAACTGAGAAGCGTTTCAAGTGAATCAAGAGCACATCAGGCAATTTTGCCAATGTTAACGACTTGCTGGCACGACGAGCCTGTTTGCAACGAGGACAGTTCCATGCATTATCACCTTCTAAAATCTCGTCCTGTACAAAATAATCTAAACACTGATAAATGTTCACTGTGGTAGGTCCATTGCGACTAGCAGGAATGGGCAAAGAAAGGGACATGAATGAATTATAAGTTGTTGATGTCTAAAAAGGGATCATAAATAACGTGAACAAAGCAAAATGCGTTTCTTACTGTATGACAAGTCAGGCAAGTGAGTCGACTTCTATACTGCCCCTGAAACAAACTGACGACAACACTTGAGTTTCGAAGCAAGTATTTATCCCAAGCTATAGTGCTGGCTTTCCAATCTGGCAATTGTTCAAATAGAGCTTCTTCTTCGGCCGTTTCTGAGGGAATATTAGGCTTTTCTGTTATCAAGTTACAGTCTTCGTGAAGGCCATCTAGTAGAAAATTCAGAAATTCTTGAGAGTCGTGCTGCTCACACCCTCTGAATTGAGGTGCAAATTCTAAAAGGGCTTCTCTAAAAGGAACGGGTGAAATGAAGCTGTAATTGCCGCCCCACATGAGACGCAATAAGTCAGCAAATTCATTTGCTAACCGACCTTTGGAGCTAAGGGGGCTTATCATATTGATATGATGCTTATATACACCAGCTAGAATGAACAAATTAGAACAAGAAAGAGCATATACAAATAAAAAAAAACCTACAGATAAAGTAACGAGCAAATGGGATAGTTCCACTAAGGCATTGAATAATTGAATTCATATAGCAGGTATTACCTAGATTTTTCAAACCGGTTGTGCCCACGACTATATTGCCCATCTGAGAGAATGAATTTTCAGAGACAGGAGCAGCGCGATATTCGGGTAGACTGATATCAGATGGCTTAGGAGGTAGAGGCGGTGCCTGTTCCTTTGAGGGCATTGGTGGTCGCTTCTTCCTCAGGATGGCCGGAGGAACGTCAAATTGCTGATTGGTTGTGCTCGTGAATCCATGAAATGGGTTATCAATAAATGTCTTGCGTCGTGTGAGCTCGGACGCATTTTGATTCTTTTCCTGATTGACAGGTTGGGGTATTGGCATAGTAAGCTTTGTTTCAGGCTCTGGAGATGCAAGGGTATGTGCAAAAATTCCTCGGAGAGGGGGCGTCTCGACATGGTTCTTATTATTTCGAACCATAGACTCCTTTGACATAGATGGCCCTTTATACGTAAACTAGAGTGAATTAGTATTCAAGCATGACACAACTTTAAATTAAACTTACATAGTCATAGAGCGTATGGTGTACTTTAACAGGCGACAAAGGAGTACGTTGATCAGAGTCTCTCTTTTCTGGTAGAATGGGCTTGCTATTATCCGTGTATCTATAGACTCCGCGCTGTCCTATCGTCCTACTCCAAGCATCAAAGCCTCCTATGAGCATAATAGGCGCATTTCGCAATACTTTTTGAAACTCGAACTCATAAATAGCTTGTCGAAGATGGTATAATGTCTGATTTTCCTTATCAAGAACGGTTGACCTTTGGTCATAATAAACAATAAGATCAAAGTATTCATGTCGTCTAGCAAACATCTGCTGCTCCACTTCAGGGTTCATAATCATCGACTCTTCAATTTTCTGTGAACTTACGCTAATAAACTCATGTTAGATGACGTTCTCTACTCTAAGCACTTACTTCGGCTTTATGACTAATGGTTCAATCTGGGCTACCCATCGATGTCTTATGAATCCTTGACTATGAACGTCCCTTGGCCGAATATCTAGCAATAGCACACTTGGCTGTGGGCCAGAGCTGTTTTTCACGATCCAACTGGCTAGCTGTAATGGTTCAACAGTCAATGTGGGTAACGATAGTTGATAATTGGTGGGCCTCGGAAATTCCATACCATTACGAGAGTGAATTGGTGGCTGCGTTGTTGGTTGTGGCTCTGGCATTTTCATGGACTGTGGAGGTGGAGGTGGTATAGATTGTTGTTGTGGTAGTGGTGGAGACCGTCTTGGCACCTGTTGCAGTGAGGCTGTGCCAGGTTTATGTGTTGGAACTGAAGGCAGTCCATCCAGCAAGACTTGTCCGTTAGTAGGAGTCAAAGGTGGATATTTCTCCAATGCCTCCTCAACCATGTTCTTCTTGCCCAGTTTTTCTTGTAGAGTTGAGTTAAGATATTCAAGCCGATCAAGTACGTCATTTTCAGTACGCTAATAAAAGAAGGACTCTGTTAAAACTATGGCCGAAAGAACAACAAAATGATATTTACTGTCTTTAGTTTTAGATATAAAGGATCTCTTTTGACCTCCTTGTAATTCTGGTGTTTGTTGATAATCTCTAGCATTATGCTACATGTTGGTTTTATGAGTTAAGAAAGCAATTTGACATTACATTAAGCTACCTGCAGCCTTTCATATAATGAACATAGGCATCTTCAAGGTCTTCATTTTGATATTTCATATCACCCTATATTGGATATATTTAATAAACTCTATATCTTTTTATCTGCTTTATTTTACTTGTTCATATAGCTTGTTTACTGAAGACACCCATAACTTGGCAGAGTATTTATGTGTATCACTTTTGTCTACAGTTGCTCTCTTTGTCAAATCTGCAAATGAAGCCGTCATTAAAGAATATAAAGAAAAAGAAAACACTCTAGTAGGTTTTCCTTATTTGTTCGCTTTGTGAAATGTGTACCATTTGACTAAAATGCAGCAAAGTTTGATTATTTATTATTACTATTATCATGCAAGTGTATCAAGACAGATGAATTTATTACCATGGCTATCAAAGTTATATAGAATGCGTAGTCTAGCTTTATATACTTAATACATAGGTATTAAGCATATATGTTCTATCTTTTGATTTCATTGTTGTTGCTATTGAATACTGAGCCTTAAAAAGATTTCCCCTTTTTCCTTTTTTATTAATCATGTCATCTAGTGAAGATCAACTTAATTTTGCTAATAGAACAACCAATTCTGAATTCCATAAACGACTATTAGCGACACAAAAAGTTTCACATGAACAACAAATAGAAGATAGTCTCGTAACCTATTTGAATACTTCACCAACAACATGATCTAACCCTATAAGCACAGTTTAATGAGTTTGCAGTTGAAAATGACGAAGAAGAAATGAGAAAGAAGATTGCCATTCTTCAACAACAAGTAGAAAGAATGGAAGGTTATGTTGCAGATCTAGAAGAGAAATTAAAAGATCGAAAAGAACGAAGACAAAAAGAAGCTAATTTAACCAACATGACACCTGAACAAAGAGCTCAATACGTGATGGAAGAAGAAGAGCGTGATATATCAGATATACCCGACTTGGATGTCATCTTGTAATATCTTTTCTTTTTTAAAAACAAGAACTAAATGATTACTTAGTGAATATATGCTATTACTAGGAAGTTCAACAACAACTGATACGAACGATCTATCACAAGCAGATTTCTTAAAACCAGACGCACAATTACGTGAGGAGGCAATATCTGACCCGGATGTAATTATTTTATTATATCAAAACAAAAAAGAGGCTCTAAGCAATGGTTTATATTAGGTTGTGCGGCAAACTGACTACTCGTTTGTAAAATTCACAAGAGCAAAAAACATTTTGGAAACGCGTACTGATAATTTAGGTAAATATACCCTTTCATTATTAATATTTGCTAAATAAACATAAAGACGATATTCGCCATTGTGAGTTATCCGGTAGTTCTTTTAATCAAGAGTTTACTGTATCATTTGACGTCTTGGAAGCAACTATGACCATGTGTAATCTGAACTTTGAAGTGGGTATTCGAATGAAGATGGATATAGGACCATTATTACAAAAGTAAGTGTAAAAAATATCTGGAATATCTAGTGCGCTTATCTGTCTACAAGGATAAAGGACACTTGCAACATATTGGGATTCTTTCAGGTATTAGTACATTATGCAAGGCTCACGGATCAAAGAAGAGTACTGTTTGAAAAGCTGAAGCGATCATTTGAAAATACAGATATAATTGTTGAAGCCTTATCAGATTCTAGACTTCAATTTCAAGGGAAAAGGTATCGCAGGCATAATGTTTATCAATTTGATTATTTATAGACATCATATTAGAGAGGACAGCATGGCATTAGTATTGAATTGGAAGATGGTGATGCACAATATGAATAGAGGTTCATTAGATGCAAATATAAGGGATCATGTTCAACTACAACTTAATATGGATGCTATAACGCCTTCATCTTGTACAGTATGATGAGTTTGTTTCATTCGATTGCTAATGTTTTAAAATAGGGCTACAGAATGATCAAAGCCATACATTAGATAAAGTAAATGAAAGCTATATAAACTTGATCAAGCTTCAAGGAGTGTTCAAGGCGACAGAAACAATAGTGAATAAAATATTGAACCATTAATATCTTGGCTTAATACACTGTTATTATATAAAAATACTGTGAATAATAGCAACTGTGTGTATGAAACAAAGTCGCTCAATTGTAACAAGAGTGTATAAAAACCACACGGAAATAGAGAAAACTTTTTATTTCTTATCATTCTGAAAAGACCTTAATCGCCCTCACCATCAGTGATTGGTTCAACGTATACTATCTCCTTTTGTTCATTGCACCATCCACTTCTAACTGCTTCCATACGGATTACACCGAATGTAGCAGTGTGCTCAGCCATAGAATGCCTGATTTTATTTAAGGCATAGACCTGTGTAAGGCCCTTTGATTTTAACCTAACCCTCACCAGTTTGGTACCAATTTCCTCCCCAGGAGTAATCGAAAACTTGAGGACCTTAAGTAGAGCAAGTCATCGAGATTTACCCAGTTTACCCATTGCAGCATTATATACATCTTTGCCTATTGATTTCAATGGGTCGTTCAATTAGCTCTTTTTGTCCTTTTATAAGTTTCGATTCATCATAATTTCCAACAGATTCCTTGAACTCAGTAACTGAAGCAGCACTTTCATGAAAATCAAGTTCAAGGTCTTTTCCAGTGTTCTTGAAGCTTTCTGCTTTCTTTTTATCACGCTTACAGGAGTACTGTTTCCGATTTCATCGGTTGTTGGTTGAAAATGTATGATACGGAACTTTAAAGGGTCATATTCCATACTAAAGACCAATTAGCTCATGTGTAATTGCATTAAAGAATACTCTATTAAAAAACGTTAGGCTAGTTAGAGGCTTTGGTAGCGTTAAGTCGCAGAAGCAACATGGGTAGCGCTCCAAGGAAGCGCCCATAGCATTAGCCTATTTTCTGGTTATGTAGTGTTGGTCAAACTTTACTACTCACCTGCAAATTTTATTCAGCATAAAATTCTTTTATTCAATTTTATTTCAAGTCCCAAATCTTTGTATTTTCACTGCAAATGCCCATAGTCTTTCTTAAAGCAATACTTGGCACCATATTCTTATTTATTATTGTTTTTCAAAACTATATATTGAAGCAATGGCAACCGAGTCAGGAGCAACAACTACTTTCCGGAAACAGTCATGTAGATCGACTTGAACTGAAGAAAGTGTATCGTCTAGATCCAGATACAAACAACATTCTATACTTGGACATACCTCAACACAATGAGCAATATGCTATGGCTTCAACAAACTACACTGTGAAATCAGTTCCAGGAATTACCTTTAAACCTAAAAAGATAAACCGGCATGCAAAGCTGCTGAGATTGTTCAACGAGCCGGTAGATCTGGAACCATCGTTCTACATGATGCCCAATATTAAAGATCATAATACCATTCTGACCCTATCAATGATGTCCTTTGATGCATACATTGAGGTTGGAAGCAATGGTCAATGGTATGATTTGGATTCCGAGTGGGGAATTGTAAGTCTTTTTTTCTCTTTATTCAACACTGTGAGAAAGAAATAACCGCATCATTCGAACTATACAGAATTCAACATTTGGTTGGGAAGATAAAGGATTGAGAGGCCATGTCTTTGGGAATGCAGATAATTCTTTATTAATCATAGGCTTCAAAGGAACAAGTGGCTCAATATTTAATACCGAACCTACGGGCGAACAAGATAAGTTTAATGTAAGCCCATTGTTACCCTCTTAAATTGATCTACTCTTACCAACGTCAATTTAGGACAATATGCTATTCTCTTGCTGCTGTGCTAAAGTGGATCGCACATGGAAGGGCATTTGTGAGTGCAGCGATAAGACATACTCATGTGATAGTCAGTGTCTAGAGAAAAAACTGGTATCATCTGAACTGTATTATGACTATGCGAATGTAAGCCTAGATTTAATAGTATCTATACCATATCAACAATTTATATATGCAGCGTATATACATGAGTGTCAATGATAAATATCCAAATGCTACCATTTGGTTAACAGGCCATTCACTTGGTGGAGCGATTGCAAGCTTAGTAGGTCAGACATTTGGTGTGCCAACCGTCACCTTTGAAAGCCCTGGTGATCGTTTGGCCTCTCGACGGCTACATATGCCTCAACCCCCTGGAGCTCCCAATTTACCTATTTGGCACTTTGGTCACACGGCTGATCCTTTGTTCATTGGAGTCTGCACAGTAAGCTTTTTTATTTTAGCCCACCAAAGAGAAAGGGAGCTTATAGTTTTATTTATAGGGGCCGATGAGTGGTTGTTATTATGCAGGATATGCTATGGAATCACGATGTCATGCAGGAAAAGTGAGTACTAAAGAAAAGGGATACAAGTTACTAATGTTATATAGGTCTGCATATGGGATACAGTCAAAGACCATGGTTGGAGAGTAAATTTGGCAACTCATAGAATAGGGGATGTGATTGAAAATATTATTAAAAAGCCAAGTGAGTTCCCTTTACCTCCATGTGAAATACAGCAAGACTGTGATGACTGCGGATTATGGGTTTATAACGATCCAAGAGATTAAGTTTGTTTATTGTTGTGTATTAATTAGGAAAATAATTTTTATAATTTTTATAATATAAAATAGTAAAGAGTATTAAAGAGTTAAATATACATTTATGCTGGAAGCTCTTCTGTCGTCACAACATAACCATGATCATGATCAGGATGATCATGTGTATGTTGTTGTTCTTCTGCCTGGGGCGGATCCACTTCTATCTCCACAGAGCTTTCCTTGTGGGCAATAAGTTCAACCTTTTCCCAATTAAGAAACATCTCCTGTTTGACCACTTCTCCCCTTTGTTCATCAACAAAAATGGCCGAATTACTGATGATTTGAGGTAACAGGTTTCCGTATTGTGTCAAATGACAAAAGACTTCAATTGTATAGCCAATTAAATAAGCACCAATAGCCCAAATGATAATCAAGAGAATAGCCCAGATAATTGCCAGAATAGACCATGTGGCTCTTGTATAAGGGTAAATGACGTTTCCTTTGACAGGATAGGTATCATAATCTGAACACAGAGGATTAGTAAACAAGGCGTCCACAAGTTTAGTATCGTTTTGGTAATGTCCATTGAGTACGTCGGACACCATGCCTGTGGAACCATATAGTCCAACGTTACTTCTCATGGCTTCAGCCACAGCGTCTGCAACTACTTTATTGTCTGCATTTGAAGTGACTGCACTATGCTCACTACATTGTTGTACTGTTCCCGAGAAGCAGGTGTAGTTGGTAGACCTTGCAGTAATGTAAAAACCAGCGGGCTTGACAGCATCAGGAGGATTAGATACAATAATGATTGCCTCACCATGTTTGGCTGAAGTATGTCGCAAAACGTAGAGATCAGCGCTTCCATTGAAAACGGTGCTGCTTAAAGGTATGCGTTTAAGCGTCTGGAGGTATTGCAACTGTGTAGCAAGGCTGATAATAGGCTCACCATCGATGTATATTAAAGTCGTGTTGCTCTGCTGTTGTTGCTGCTGCGATGCAGTCATGGAAGCTGTCGTTGCATTGGAATCCCTTTGATTTTGACTGTTAGAAGCCAAATTACTGTTGTTGCTGCTGCCATTTCCATCATTTGTCGTAATGGACGCAGATGCAGGAGTACCGTTGATTGCAGATGATGACGGCACGTTAGCAGAGACGGTAGGTGTTTGCCCGGCAGGCGGAGTAATTGAACCAGAACTATTATTAGACTGCCCATTTGTGGAAGCAGTGCTGTTTGATGAACTATCCGCTGTATTACCACTAGCTGTCCCATCATCTTCGTCATGACAGGGCTCATGATGTCTTTTCGTAAAAATGCTTTGGTGGGGAGCTTGCACCGAAATGTTTGAAACAGGAGTAAAGTTTGCAGAAATCAGGGACACGCCAAAGTTAGAAGGGGAAGTCGTCGTTGACTGATTAAATCCGCTGATGATGGAAGATGCGTCAGAAAGTGAATTAGAGATCATGCCTTTTGAATAAGCGGTGGATGCCAAATTATATTGGCTTTCAGTAGTATGCTGACACTGAGCAGCATTCATACTGAGACTACTTTCTTCAAGATGGTAAAAGATGGTAGTAGACGATTGAAATTCGGCTTGCAAAAGATTACCCAATAGACAAGCTACAGGAATGAGCGAAGCAATAATGATATATCGGAAACCAGATCGATATCGAATGCCGCTGTAGATAGCCTCTACCCCACCAGCCGATTGGAACCTGATGACTGAATCAGGATAGATTCCGTTGGTAAATACCTTGATTAAAGCTACAACTAAAGATCGTGCCGCTAAGATAGCTGCAAGTCCTTCAAAAAAGGCCTTTAGAACACTAGCAGGATAAGTTCGATACGGAGGAAGGAGTGAATCACCAGGAAGAGGGATCAGCCACCATGCTTGCCCTAGAAAGATGGCAATAATGGCAAGTATCCAACAAAGATGAAGACGAACATAGAAACGGAAGTTGTATTCCCCCGTGAGTGAAGAAGTCGATTGCTCCTTATTCGATTCCGACATGGCTAAAAGAGAGAAAAAGATAAAAGAAAGAGAAAGTGGAAAGGATATTTTGGGCTTTTTATTGATCTGATTTGTCAACCAGGGCGTATGTATTGTTCCCTTTTTTGTTGTGCATCCGTACAGTAATATTTTTGGTAAAAAGAAAGTGGCCATTAAGGGAGAGCCTATCTGAAATAGGCAATGCAACAGGGGGCATGACAGTATCAAAATAAACAAATACATTGCTTATTCACTATACATATTACCATAGTAACAGATTAGTGACTTTAGGAAATTTCGCACAGCCGATGTATCTATCTGACTTCATCTCCAATGTTAAAGTGCTTGTAAGGTTATAAAAAAAGACTCTGACAATATGAACTATTTTGGAAGGTTACATCCTCTATTGTTTTATGGTTAACCTTTTCATTAAATTTTTACTTTCATATGACAATGTTACACATGAATTGACTTTAATACAATGACAATTGCACTAGATTCCTCTTGACGATGAGAAGGAGGTAAACAAGCTTGATATGTAAGTATTATATTCTTTGGCGCAACTAACAATCAAGTTCTGTTCAATTCAATAATTGGACGGATTGTGTCTATATATAATCCTACAAGTTACTATATATTAAAACAACAGGTTGGTTAAATAAGTTGCTTTATCTTCGCTGCATAAATAACTCTTGAAGTATCTTGTCTCTACAGTTAGGCAGCCAAGCTCAACTCTATCTATAATCACGGTATTTTACAATCTGAAATATAGAATCGAATGAATTCATATGTCTCTGAATTACTTACATCGTGTGAAAGTACCCAGCCCAGTCTCATCTTATAGCAGAATTAAGCCTACTCTAACCTTGAACACTTTTAAAATTATTAGCACATTTGGTGCTTTGATATAAGTGTAAGAAGTGAAAAAAAAAGGTTACAACTTGGACAAGAAGTAAGATGCATTTGCTTACAGAGTGAAAACACCGAAAAAGGTCGTTTTTATTTTGTTATACCACAAAAATCCAAAGTATGGGCTCGAGTTTGACATCATTTCTTTGGTGAATTAACTTTGACAGCCAATACCATTAAGCAAGCACTGCTTCATTTATGGTTTCCTCCTCAAAGCTTTCTGCTTTCTCTAATGAAAGTACTGTCGATTACGCCCTTTGGTGCATTTGTCGTGCACACTGGATGTTTTATTTTCAATGGACATCCTTTTATCCCGTCCGCGGTTTTTCAGACTATCCTTGGCTGCTTGAAGCCCATAAAAAAAAAGGTAAGACCACTATTGGACATCAAGCGGTATGCATACGACGACTATATGATTATCACAACTTTCCAGAAATCAGTTAAAAGAGGATCAATAAGGGCCTTGGAATGCAATGCTACTTTTATAAATGGAAATAATAAGCTATATAACACACTATTAATTTGACGTTATTTACTTTTGACTTTTCAAAGTAGAAAAAGGAACATTAGTTCACCCATTCATCGGTTTAGAAGATAATACTCTTACTAGTTGCTAGCTTTTTCAAAAACAATGCAAGTATAAAGACTTACAAAGTGAAATTAGCCCTTGTACCAATACATCATTGTTTAATAAAGCATATGAATGTCTTTTAACCCATTTTTAGCAATAATTACAATACCTTCACTGCATTTTGTAAATAAACAAACATTTAAATGGCAGATACAGTTTCATCTTCCGCCTGTAGCTTTTCTCTTCTGTTCATGCGCAGTAAATTTTTTTATTATTTTCTTTCCTACATGTCAACTGCCACTGTTCGTAAAAGCACAAGAATAGCTAAAAAAATTACAATTAGCTATAAAGAGAAAAAGATTTCTAAGCCAAAGAGGAAGCAGCAAGTATCCAAGAGTGTGTTCGAACGATTTGTATTAATGAATGTTTATGCAGGACTCGAGCAGCAGCTACCAACAAAAAGCAGAAAATAGATAAATCAACTACTGTTTCTACAAATACAACTACTACTGTAATCAGTACCACTGTTCAAGATGAACTCAAGGTTAATATCTCTAAAAGTGTCTTTAATCGAAATATTCTAATTCTTGTTAGACTTTTGAACATACGCAATATGATTTATTGAGAAAGTTTGAAGTGTCAAAGGCAGTAGAGCATATAAAACTACATGATCCTAAACTAGGTGCTTATCTCACAAAGGAAACTATTGCCGAATTTAAGGTTCGGCTAGAGAATGCAGATGGATCCAATCCTTTTCGATCATTGACACGATCCATTGTATACCAACAAATCCATGGTAAAGCCGCTGCCTCAATCTATAACAAATTCCTGAAACTGTTTGATGATACTTTTCCCACGCCTAGCCAAGTACTTGCAAAGACAGTAGAAGAATTGAGATCGGCTGGATTATCTGCCCGAAAGGTATTATGCCTCGTAATAGCTTGCATGTTCTAATTCTGACATATACTTCATACAGGTGGATTCGATTAGAGACCTCGCAGAAAAGTTTAATAAAAATCTAATTACTCCTGAACACTTTGACAAAATGTCAGATCAGGAAATATCTGCGCAGTTGTGCACTGTGAAGGGTATTGGCCAGGTACATAATGTCACTGTTTATTTCGCGTAGTGGTTGTACTTATAATATTTGATAGTGGACTGCAGATATGTTTTTAATGTTTAACTTGCATCATCCGGATGTCCTTCCGGTCGGCGACCTGGCTATTAGAAAAGGAATTGCCAAACATTTTGGGCTGACTATACCATCAGATGCTAAGAAGAACAAAATGTTTCCTACTTTGGAACAAATGGAAGAGTTGACACATATCTGGAAACCATATCGTTCGTTATGCTCTTGGTTATTGTGGAAAATATCTGATATCTCGACTGTATAAATAAATAATAGTCTTGCTAAGCCAAGTTTGTAGTAACCAACGTACAAATTTAAAGTGTATTTTCACAAAAAAGGAGAACGGAGGTTCTTGAGTACTAAAAGAATGTCATCACATAGAAAGATTAAAGTGCAAAGGCAGTTGATCGCCAAATTGGATGTACGTATTGCTCGTTTTATTTAAGCCTCGGCTTAATATTGACTAAAGTAGAATGACGAACCAAAAAATTACCAGAGAACCCTCAGCGAGGGTTCTAGAAGAGTTGATGTCAATACGTAATAATAAAGAGACCACTGACTATGTACAAGGAAGTAAATACAACAATTAACAAAACACTCGAGCATGAATGAATGGATGACTTTATGCTCTAGATTTTTTTTTGCTGTCTGCCAAGACATCCTAGGTTCTATAATCGCAACCAATCATTTTACATGTTGAGTCAAATCAAAAAATTAGGCTTTTATTATTGTAGATGAACGATGGTGATGATATTGATGATTAATTACTATGTTTTTTAAACAACAAATTTAAAGAGTAAAGGAGTATATTGATACATGGTAATGAATGATAAAGAAATGATGCTTAGTACGATAGTGTCTATATCATAATTGTTAGTATAAATCCTGTAAAACAGAATATTTTATATATATATTATAAAAAATATTACTAAATAATGCCTTCTCCCATGGTTCCAACATGTATAAAGCAGTTTGGAGTTCGTATTGATAAAGCTTGGTCGACAGAAAGCTGGAAACACTCTTAGATCCCATTATGTTCTTTTGGTTGGGTTAATAAAAAAAAAATCTAGGGAAAAAAAGCGAGCCAAAGGAGTGTAAAAGGTTTCTACTTTTGTAAGATTATCTGAACCTTAATTGCTTCCAATCAGACTTAGACAGCTAAACCTACAAAAAGGCAATTTACAGACACCCTTTGAAAACCCCGCATTTCAAAAACAAGTTATCAGAGACTTTATTTTATTTTATGCTAAGCTATTATCTTGCTTTATAATATATAAAAACATCACTCTCTCTTCAGTTCACAAGTGTTTAATCCTATGCAAGCAACTCCTGGCAGAGAAGATTAACTATGGATCACGTGAATACATAATGAAGAAACCAAGGGACATAGATCTTTATTAAAGCAGACTCATTAAATGACCAAATAGATAAGACCTAGGTACCATCAATAGAAGCTGACGTGTTTGATGAGATAATCATTATAACAACTCGAGTATAATCTTACGGTAGAGCATACATTCTACTTTACATTCCTCTATCGTATCTGATAAGAATAACTTATAATAATAATAGCTATAGTAGCCACTAATATAACAATAATAATATAAACATAAATAATGTCAGTGGCGACACTAAATATAAATAGCAAACTTAATTTAATAATAGACAGCTCTTCTTAATAAAAAATCTAATTCGCAAGCCATCGACTTCATAACCTTTTTTCAATAACAACCAAAGCTGAATACAACACTCTGAAACTACCTTCATTGGAGCGTCCTCTACCATTGAATCCACCATGTGTTTTTGATGAATAGCTAGATCGCTTGATGGCGGACTCTTCAAATCTAGTCTTTTGAATCTTTTCAATAACCTCAAAGGAGAAAAAGAGGTTTTTGTTGTCGTCTTCGTCGTCATTCTCGATATTTGAGGCTGTCTGGGAGACGAAGCGCCTTTGTTTATAGTTCTTTGGCATCTCTATCCAGTTCTTTTCCTGTTGCAAAGTAGTAAGCTGCAAACCTCCTAGCCTTTTCCAGGATAGTTTACATAGTCTGCTCGTCTCCGCCTTCTTCGAAGACATATCAAATTTCGTTGTACAATTCTGATGCTCCTCATCCTACTGTTCGTAATCGATCAGATCCTTTACCGATTGCGGATATCATTTGGGCAGCATCTGTTATGTAATGGTTTATAAGACACAAAACAAAGACAAAAGAAGTACTCTTTGAGACTAATCTTTATTTTGAGATAAAGACAGAAGGAACATACAAATAAATTAATGATCTACTATTTATAGCTGTTATCAAATGGCTGGTAAGCCACTATTCTAAGCGTGGGTTATAATTACTAACGATTCCTGAGTTCGTAAAGAAGACTTTTCATTTCATGATCTGGGTTATGATACTGCTTTTACCATAAGAAGGATTATCGTTTAAAGAAGTGTATCCTTTTATATAAAGAAGTAATAATCTACACTGATGACTGCTTTTATATCATCGTTGGTCATACCTTTCATAGACTATTTCATTAGACTTCAAATGGTTGACGATAGGTTTTTTTCTCGAGTGTGAACATATCCAACTGGATTCCTGATGATTCGTTACTAATGTCTATGATGTTGTTTTCTCCAATGCTATTCAAAAAAAAATGATGTAAATAAAATTGCCATGGCCTTTTTTGAGAGATTTACCATTTAAAATACAAAGTTTTGGCTGGCGTACATCCATCAATCATTGTGTTTGCAGTCTAAGTTTTTTACAATCGATCCCAAGGAGGTGCCCAGCTCAACAGACAGAAAAGGAGGATATTTAAGTCTCTTCAATCCAAAGGAAATCATCTACAAGAGAAAGAGGCAGGCTCAGTGTCTTGTTCTGAATCAAAGTGTGTTACTGACCATACAATTGATGTTGTCATTACAGACTTGCTTGAGAAGTATGTAGAAGACAGTTCAGACGACGATTTTCAACCAGTTTTAACATCTAGGAAAAGAAGGAGTAAGCTGCACTGCCAAACTTGATGTAGATAAACAGCCAGTCTAACACACAAAACCTTACCTTAGGTAAGAAAATACTCCGTAGTGTGAGCCGCAAAAGAAGCTCAAAGGCAAAGAAAAAGAAAAGGCTCAGGAACCTACAACTTCTTCCAAAATCACCGGAGCTCCATCTGCATAATATGGGCAATCACAACAAAATAAATAGACTATTTCAAATAAGGAAGGGAAAGAATTATAGTTTAAATTATTTTTGCCGCGAGAATCGAGTTTACAACCAAAAGAATACCCAACAGTGTCATAACTGTATAAGTGCATGCCTAGGATATTGTAAAACTTTGGGATCACAAGGATCAAAATCATCCTTAAGGGTAACTTTAAAGCATTCTAATTGCTTACGAAGCTCATTCACATAATCATTATGCACAAGTAATACAACAACATTGCGGTCTGGTTAATGTATAGCCAGTATGTGGTTGTTCGTAATATCAAGTTTTCTCAAGCGGGTACGAATTTGACCAATAGGAACTCGTGCCTTAGTTGGCAAGTATACGTATTGAAATCCTCGGTTCTCAGATGGTGGCTATAGGAGGCGTGCAGCTACTTCTTACCGTTGCAATCGGCGTTATTATTCATGCTCTGCAAGTCTGCGCTTGATTTGGAAAATATGCTGAGGGTTATGCCATGGAAATGTTTTGGAGGGTAGTGCAGGAAAATCTTCGGAGCTGAGATGGTCGTCGTCTTCGTGATGGATGGGTTAGTTCATATTCATAGATTGCTGTGTCGCTTGTTCTTGAAGTTGGGTCACTTGTTGACGTAAATTGGCTACCTCTGCACGGGATGCTGCAAGATCGGCTGAGAGGCGTTTAATCATGTCCAATAAGGGCTGCATATCGTGTGCCTGGTCGCTTGTGTTACTATTTTCGGTAGGTTGTGTATTGTGGAAAACTGCAGAAGTTTCGTTGTTTGGTGAGCTTCCAAGACTGTTAGAAGAAGCTAACGATTGAATAATGTACACCATGGCGCGAGCCTTAAAGATCTTTCCACATCCATGACAGCGAAATATGGTCATGGGTGGATCGGTTTTAGTGGATCCATTACGACGAAATTGGCTCATCTTCTCGCAATAAGGATATAAGATTTGCGGTAACTCTCAAACTATGAAAGCAAAGTAACTACTGCTTCCTGAGTGAGAGCACCATCCGTATTTATTAAATTATTGTTATTTATGTCGAAAGGTGGCATAGTTGAAGCAATTGTTTTCGCCGTAGTTAGTGTAACGTATAAATATACTAAAGAGCTTCGCCTTTTATTTTTTTCAAAACAGACACTATTTACAAGATATATGATGCTGCTAAGCAACTAATTGGTCCGCTGATGGTGGGTTCAAGATCCTTTTTAGTTGCTCGGGTACTTTGTCTTCTGGATATCTCCATTCAGGATGATGATATAATTGTAGAGTATTGCTTCCATACCACTTGGGGTAATCTATATAAAGCATTGGTTAAGGCACTGTAATAATATCAATAAAAAGGAAACAATTTACCAATAGAACTAGGATGATTCAGTTTCTCCTGAAGATCCAATGCCATTAACTCGGATCGACAAGAGTGATCTCTATGAGTCTGTAACTTGTAATAATTAGGTGATTTCGTACAGCTAAAACCAGCCCTGTAGGCTAAAAATGTAAGAGCAGCTTGATCCTGTCTATGATTTTCTCTTGAAGAACCAGGTGGAGCAATACAGTTCTTATCTAGTCCACATTGATACCAGGGCTCAATCAGCTGCTTCATGACATTCTTATTAGACACATCAAAACCAATAGCAGCACCATTACAGTTTCCATTACGTGCATAGGCTTTCGGGTCTGCGTTGAAGTATTCATACATACCAGGATGAGTCCAGTCCTTCATGGCCTTGGATGATCTGGGTGACCAGAACCCCCCGCCTTTGCGAATGACTGTCGGAATTGATTTAATGAATTCAGGTGTGACAATATTGCCAGCATCCAGCCACACAAGGATACCATTCTCAGCATATCTCTCGCTTGCTTCATGCACAATACCAGTCTTCCAGGCATATTCACCAGCGTTGATAGCGACATCCCAAAAGCGTGGGTATTTGAAATAATCAAACGTGACGAGATCATCCACAAGACCAGTTTCGACAAATTGATCAAGGATAGGTAGTTGAGTTCTGTTCATTCCGATATTGTAAACAACAATACGAGGAAATTCATTTGGCTTGAATTGTGAACGTAAATCATATAAAGAATATAAAAAGTTTTCTAATGAACAGAGATGATTTGCACTTGATGCTGTAACAATCGTGAATGGATAAGAATTTGGCTTGGGATAAGGTTTTGTAACATGTTTAACAAGCGGCTCAGCCTCTTTGTTTTCCAACAAGACTATAAGGTGATCAATATATATAAATACATACAATAGGTAATAAATTGCTTTATGTACCTTGTTCATCTCCTGCTGATGGTGTTGTTGATGTTGTTGTAGTAATAGTAGTTGTAGTATAGATTATTTTAATCCTTAAAGAAGAGATGAAAAAGAATACAACAAAGAATAGAACAATGACAGGAAGACTGATCCAACTCTTCATCCTTGATTGATTTGTTATTGATGAAGATGTCAATTTAGTCATTCTTTTGTGTGAAAAAGATGTAAAGAAGAAAGAAAAACAAAAATTTCTATTATTATAACTTTTACGCCGGGTTTCAAAACAAAGTCTGGACGCTCCATTTTAGGATAAAAACCCTTATATTTTTAGAAATATAATGTGTAACTGCAACCAGAGCTCACTTGCTCTTAATAATCGTAACAGGACACTGACAATGATGTAGACAGTAATCACTAACTGAGCCCAAAATGAATCTAAAAAAAAAAGCCCTTAACAACCATATATTCATTACTATAACTACTTACTTTTCAAGCCCTTCTTTGTTGGATGACCCTAATACTAACATATTGGGTGGATTTTGATTAATATATTCTTCAATAATACTTCCTACATGAGATGATCCTTCCTTTGTGATAAATTCAATATTCTATTTATTGTTATTAATTACTCCCCCTTCATTTATGAAAAAACTTGCCTTTATATTAAATTGTGCGATGAACTTTTTTAATTCAGCCACTTCCTCCATGGCTTCTTGTTTTATTTCAATGTTATTAATGCGATCCAAGCCACTCCTTAAAGGTTGTAAATGTATATTCCCTTCTTTTTTTATCGTAAACTTACAATAAATGTAAGGCAGTAGTCCCCTTGGGAGGATTAATACCAATACAATAAAGAATTTCAATCTTGCATGAGCACGCACATCGTGAATATAGATCCGCTGCGTATTCTATCGCTTTTTTTGACCCGCTTGACCCATCAACTGCAACAACAATACGAAAATCCATTATATCAAAGAGAATAAGAAAAAAAATAGCTCACTTATAATTATTTCCATGATGTAATTTTATTGAAAAATAGATCACGTGGTTTATACACAAGGTAATAGACATGAAACGGAGAGAGGAAGGAGAAAGAGCTGAGCTTTTTTTTTTTTTTGTTCTTTTTTCTCCTTTCTATTAAACTCTAAAGAACAAAGAAAGAATGTTGATATATTTGGCCCTTTTTCTGTTACTAATTGCAAGTAAGCATATCATCATCCGACCTCCTCTCTTTCTTAATCCAACTCATTATTATCATCATTATAGTATGTTGGTTTTATCGAGCCCATATTCTTCAATTTGGTTCAATCATTGCAGACAAAACCAACCGTCTTTTAGGATATCACCTATTACCCACCAATGAAGGCTCCTTTGAGACAGATATTGAGGACGGTTTAACAAGTTCTCAATTTGATTTAACAACCAATTTGGATGAAGAAGACCAAAGAGCCGGTTTAAAGGATAAGGAAGAGATACTGAAAATTATGAGAAAGCAAAAAGTTTCGTTTGATCAAGCTCGACTTATTCGACAGCAAAGACTATTAAAAAAGAATGTAAGTTACAAAGTATACATAGTAAACAATGGCTCATTCTTTCTCTCAGAATATTGATCCTGAAACGGGATTGCCATTGGATCCTAAATTCGTCAGCTTTTCTTGATGATATTTATTTATACCATACCTTATTTAACCTTGTCATAGTGTAATATACTTTATATATATTTTACTGAACATCTAAAAAAAAGAGGGAAAAGCTTTCTATAAGCTTTGAATAAGTAATAAGAGTAGGAATTGACTTCAGTTAGGCCACATAAATCAGTGTCATATAAAGAAAAGAAAAAGAGAGAGAGAAAAACAAAAAGAGAGACTACATCAAAAAATATCACACGAAAGTGCAATCTTAGTCATTAGATTGAAAGGAAAAGGAAAGAGCTGTCACGATTTCATGTGATATCCTCTTGCACCCCCTCTCTATCTTTTTGTTTTCATGAGCATTCGACTTTTTAAACACTTCTTTCTCTTTTTTTCGCTTTTTCTTAAACTCTAACCATGGTCCTTACTCACGCGCAAGTTGACGCTTTCAACCGTTATATGGCTACCACTGTAGGTAGAGAAAAACTCTGCCGTTTTGTCCAATACTTTGCTCGCTTTTATGCGTACTATTTATTCCGCAACGGTGCACCCAAGGAGACAATTCAGCGATGGGCTGACCTAAAGACTCATCTTGGTAATGGCCGAAAGTTCTTCCGTCTTTTTAAGCCTGTCGAGTTTGCTCAAGTCGGCGTCAAGAGCTTGGGTCTTTCTGACGAAGTTTTGCGCTATACTGCCGTATTGAAGCAAGCCGGTATGTTCTTTTACTACATGAGTGAAGCCCTCGTGTTGGTAAGTTTGTCTATTATTAGTTTGTAATTTTTTTGCTTACGTATGTGCACACAATCTATAGGCAAACTCGATCAACTTTTATAAGCCTTCTAATATTAAGCAAATCACTGAATTCGGCCAACGATGCTGGTTGATTGCTCTTGCGGCCTCTTTGCTCTCAGGTCTGTATAAATTTAGACAATTGAGCATTCGTGAACATATGCTTGAAAAGACCCGTAAGGCTCTTGTCAACTCTTCAGAAAAGACAGAATCACAAACAGTTGAGTTGAAGACTCAGGAGAAGGTTCTTGCCAAGTAAGCTGAATGAATGGAAAATGGCTAATCACATGCGTTCATACTTATTCTTTTTCTTTGAAAAATTAGAGACAAATACAACACTAGATACCAGTTTATTCAGGATGCTGTAGACACGATTATTCCCCTTGCTGGGTTAGGCTACCTTAAAGCCGATGAAGGAATTGTTGGTTTAGCTGGGTAAGTCATTGCAAGGATTCAATGCAGTTATATATTAACTTCGTTATTCATAGTATGACTACCTCTTTCTTGGCAATGAATACTCAGTGGAAAAAAGTGAACGCTTAATATATTCTTTTAATAAACATATTCATGTATAAACAAACGCACAATACCCTGCATGATAGCTGAATTTATAAGCATTTTGCATGTACAAAAGTACTTTTTTCCTATTCGGTTTTATGAGACGGGAATCTACAGATTCTTGTTTTTAAAATAAGCAAGCATATAGTCTTTAGTTTAAATATACACATGAGATATTCAGCATTAGGGAATATGAACGGATGACGCGTTTAATAAACTTTATTCACAATGTGTATTGACTTTTTTAAGGCACCATTTCTACTTTCAGCAGTCGTAGTGATCTGATTCGCAATAAAAGCCAACTACCGAAGAATATTTCTTTTAAAGTAATCAATTAAAAGAGGCCCAATAAAGAATCGATTGCATCTGCTTTCATCAATTAAATTTATACGAAGATCTTTTTTAAGAGGTAATTATCAAAAGAATAAGAATTTTTTTATAAATAGTTTTTATGAACAATCATGATAAGTTTTTAATGATTTGCAAAAGAGTTGCTGTAACTTTTATGTTTTGGGTTAGTTCTTGACCGTCGATTTAAAGATTTAAGCTAAGCTCCTTGTGATAAGATGAGTAGATAGAGCGAATTCAAAGGCTATTAGGGTCAAAAGCTTGTGGCCACCAGATCTCTTCTTGTAAAGTTCAAACAAAGATCTGTTATCAAATATAAAGCCTTCGATAAATAAAAGTAGAATTATAAAAATACAAGTGATGTAGCATTTTTATAAGTGATGTTAAAGTATAGTAGGAAAGGAAAATAAGGATGCTGTGACAGGCTATGTCTTATTAGGCTACCTTATATATAAGAGTGTAAAGTAGGGTTTTAAGAGATTTGGAGACGTTAGGTCTTGTAAAAGTTAGATATTCTTGTACGAGTAGGTCGCTTGTCTGTGATCCACCAGATCTTTGACAGATCAATTAAGTAAGTAAATCAAAAGATGAAAGATAAAATAAAAGGAAAGTCTTTAAGACTTGTATAAAAGTAAATAAGAAAAGAATATAAAAGGATGAGTGATTGAGTAGTTATTTTACTACTTGTTTCAATACTGAATTCACTACTTTTTATTTCATAAAAATAAGAGGATATTTATATACTGTTGAAAATGTTATGGATAATAATAATAATAAAAAGACCTTTTGAGGTCTGCGTTGTACAATCTACTAATCATAATATTACTGGGTGTTAGTAAGGGGAAAAGTGTTAGTAGTAAGTTTTAAAATAAGTTTTATAAGTAGGTTTTGATATTATAGTGACCAGCAGATCTTAGTATAAGATCAATATAGAGCAATATAATGCTAAGTCTTGTGAGATAAAGTAAAAAGGTAAAATAAAAAGGTTATTAAGCAATTGTTGCTTAAGATATAAGATTAAATAATAGAAGTTATTGTGATCTGAGGATAAGATGATTCTTAGATGTTGTTTATTTCATGAATAATTTGGGGATATTTATACTGTTTATATAAGTTAATATGCAATATAAGATATAAGATATATGATAAATGATAAATGATATATGATAAGTCATAACTCATAAATCATAAAAACTTGCATAAGGCATGCAGAGTACAAGATTCCAAAAAGGGTATCAAATACAAAGATGAAATATTTCTGACAATCTCAATGTAATTTTTCTTCTTTCATTAGAGTGGGTTGAGTAGGCTTGTTATAAGTCAAAGGTTTGAATAAGGTTTGCGTTTAAGCAGAGGTTTGTATAGTATAGTGGCCACTAGATATTATTAAAAGATCAATTGTTAGGTTCGTAAAGGTGTGATGATAAAAGAATAAGAGCAGGAACTTTTATAACAAAAGTTAAGACCTGTTTA